TCAATAATGGTTGAAGCACGCTCAAAAGGGTTCCAGACTGATTCGAGAATCCTGCGGGAAGCCACCTTCACGGGACACTAACCTTGCGGCGAAAGGTATTCCGTCCCAGGAACCAGTTTTCGGATCGTCAGTCGGGAAGCGACGAGGAAGTGCACAAACCAGCAAAATAGACTTCCGACGGCGGCGTCTTCTGACTCAGGACTTCATCTCCGGGCCCATGAATTGGATCAAGCCCGTCAGCACAAACCCAAGAAGGAAACAGTGTTCCCGATCATGACGGAATACAAAGCAAACTCACAGCATTCGAAACTCTCTCCCCAACTTTCCCAGTCTGCAGCGGCAAACGGTGCAGCAAGTCCGTGCTCACACCGGCGCAGCTGAGAATCCAAGCAATCTCCGCATCTCCAAGTGACATTCGTTTGATCTCGCCTGCTCGTCAACCCCGGCGCTGTCGCTGGCGCCGCTGCGCGTCGGTTGGGAATGTGGGCTAGTGCGTGCGCGCGGGCGGAGTGCAGTGGGCGGGTTCAGCCGCGCTCCGAGGGCAGCCCCGTACTAACGATTTCTCGCCTCGCCACGGTGTCGCTCAACAGACTTTCCCCAAACACGTGGAACATGATCGGCCATGAGGGCCCCACACCTCCCTTCCCCTTGCCCAATCACAATGCGTATCTAAGCGGAGCTGTGGCTCATGAGATTACGGGCGGCGTGACGGGAGTTGGGTGCATTGACCGGGCGGCCGAGGGCTGGAGGCGAGACTTTGGGGGTGACCAGAGCTGCTGCCGGCGCACCAAGTGGGTGTATTGCCAATTGTTGGGGGAAAATAAAGTATGGAGCATTGCATAGTCCGTATATGTAGTCCGTATGTATGAAGTTTTGTGGATACTCAGTACGCATATTCTCATGGTAACAATGCACAACCCTTCTTTCTCCCTTGCTGTACTCCGTACTCCGTTGTAATTGCTGATCGCAAGGAGACAAATTTTTTTTTTTTTTTTTTTTTTTTTTTTTTTTTAAAAAAAAGGAGAAGCATATCTTATTTATAATTTTTTTTTTCCTTGACGAGGCGATGATCAGGTTATTATTAGTAACTATACCGGTCCTTCATCATCCCCGATCCCTGGCCAACACGCGGGCCAGCAAAAAAATTTGATGGTGCAACAAGGATCTAGCTTGAAATGTCGCTGTTGAGGAGGGGAGACGTCGAAAGACCACAGCGGGAGGACGGGAACATGGCTACAAGGGTGGACGTATCGTCCATACAGCACGGATTACATTAGTACGTATGTATTCTCCGTATTTCAGAATGGATACGGGACTCCCTTGGAAAAGCTCTGTATTTTGCCGCCGCCTGAGTGGTCGAAGTTCACATTTCATGTCAGCAAAAATTCGTAAAAGAACGGTATGGGTCAAAATACGCCGAACGAAAGCACGATCAGAAGTATATCCTTGTCGTCTGGCAGCGGAAAGTTCGTATCGATAAGATCGCGGCTCGTGTGCATCGGAAATTTTAAGCCACTCACAATGAAGAAAATGTTCCGTTTCAGACCAGGCAGCTCTGCTTCAAGAAACCAAATCAAAACGTTGCCAGGCGAGGAGGGTCGGTTTTTCCTGCAACCGCTGCGTAATTTTCTGGGGTCTGATGCCCGACGGAGACCAAGCACCCGTCTCGAAATTCAGAGATCAACATCTCAGATCTGCTATCCACAGGTCCACCGATTCTCTCAAGGGAAAACAGCCTTACCGAAAACGATGCAAACCGCACGTCCCATCTGTCGAACAATCCATAAAATGAAGATCATCGTCGATCTCGCGTAAAGGTGATCCCCAATTTCTCGCTTGCGTTCGCCAATTGTAAGACTGGCACTCCGCATTCATGCATGAATTAGCCCGCGGATCTTGAATCCAGCAAATCATTCCCCTCCCGCTTGCATCTCGCCTTCCTTTTGCTTTCACTTATCACAATTTGTTCAGTATTTTCTTCAGCGAGTCTAGTAATTGGCAGTTCGTGCTCGACGTGATCATTGGGCAAACGAAACCTGGCAGCGCCGGGGTTGGACGGCATAACTTGGCCGTTTGCTGCTGCCACATGGCATCCACGAGCTTCCCCCCTCATTTTCTTTATTAATAGCAATACGGGAGGAGACAAAAAGTGCTCCGGTCAGAGGACACTAAGCAGAGGTTCCTCGAGACCCCGTTCTTTGCTTCTTCTGCGATGGTGTTACATACTTAATGCAGGGAAGACCGGAAGCACAGACGTGTGTTCCCCAGCATGTTGTTTGCGTTCTCGGAGGCAGCCGTGAAACCACGCAAAGCGCCCATCCGATAACTTGGAATGCAGGGATTTGACTCTTAACTATGGCTCTGCAAAGCCATTCGAACCGTGGTGAGGAATGGCGGCACGAGAACCCTTTGAAGATCGTCATGCGAGGGAGGATAAAGACCTGAAATTTCGGGGAAAAGGAGGGAAAAAGCAATCATTATCATTTGGTATGAGCATTTGCCTGGTAAGGAATAATCTTCACGCAAGGCTCACTGCCGGTGATGAAGGATTATCCATGAAAGGCGATGGCTGCCGTGTACGCCTGGCCAAAAATATGTACCTTTTAAGGTTCAGAGGAAAAGCAAAAGCAGCGACCCTGACGACCTGGTTGGAGATTTTGTTTCTGACAAATTTGGTGTCGCTGGTTCTCGTCACCGCCAGGACAGCAAACAGACGAACCCTGCGTGGCGCGGCATTGATCCGTTTCTTGGCGCCTCTCCGAACGCTGGAGTTTGCTCAGCCGCTAGTGGCGCGGAACATGATGTCCCATGATCCCGGGAGCCCAGGAGAATGGAGCGTGGAGATCTTCGACGCAATAACAAAAGCTTTTCTCTCTCTTTTTCTTTTTTTTTTTTCCCCCCCTTCCATTCAGAAGTTGTTGCCATGAGACATGCACTGTAAAAAGCCACGCTCTCAATGATTCCTGATCTGATTGGCACCCGATGGCCGTACCAGCCAACATCAGCCCGATTGCAGGGTTGTGAAACAGCGCGGAAGAAAGAGAGGCGTTCCCCTGAAACTGGCGATCGTCGAGGTCGCAGCGCAGGCGAAGGGAACAGGCTCCGATAGCGGAACCGGGCTGGTGGCAGCCGCAAAATGGCAACAGCGCGATCTCCACCCGGTGGCCCCCCGTTGAGGGAAGGTGTGGGTTTGTCGGAAAGGGCTGGTCCAGGCGAGCATCGTACTGAACCCGCATTACAATGCATGGGGGACGTATGGAAAACATGCATATGTAAGTTATGTACGGAGGATGTGCCCCGTACGGAGTACTTGCAGTAAGATTCGTGGACTCCCGAGGTGAGCAGTGGTACGGAGTAGTTACTCTGTATGGTGTGCCTGTAATACATGTAATATATTACATCCCCGTTCGGCACTGCTGATTCAGCATCTGCCGCAACCTTCCGCTTCGTCTCCGACTTCGTTTTGGAGTTCTTCGCTACCGGTCCACAGCTATCCACCGCGCTGAAGAGTCAGATCGACGCACGTCTCTCGCTTTCAAGCTTCTGCTATTGATGGCTTTTATTTTTTATTTTTATTTTTATTTTATTCATCTTTCTTCCGCGAGACTAGTGCGTGGGATGGCGTGCTCCAAGCAGCTGGGAAAGCATCTTCCCATGCCTCCCACGGTCGAGAGCCCTCTTGCAGGAGTATACGGCGTTTTGATTCGTGCCCATGTTCGATCACGGTACCTCCTATTTCCTTTTTATGTCTTAATTTTATATATATATATATATATTTTCCCGGTATTTTGCCTGCTCAGTGATGATACTGATGACGATGTATGAACGTGATTTAAATCTTCCGGACATTCCAAGAAAACCGTTGCTCGAATCGAGCCTGTATCTGGCCGATCACCTATGCCGGACGATGCTGGAACCCCCAGTTGCAACGTAAATCGGGGCTAGATCGCCAAAAATATTCAGCAAACCATGCCCCCTTGGGGAAGGACTGGACTTGTCACAGCATTTCGACATCATCGTCCCGTCCACGGTTGGTTCGCATGGATCTGCGCTAAATGCTGTTTGGGCGGATCACCCCAAACCTTCCTCCTCCATTTCCTCGCTAACCCAACCACTCAGCACCCAATTTCTCCGGGACTAAGGTTCGATACTTGCTAATCTTTCCCCCATGGATCCTTGGCTGGCGATCAGTGTTATGACGGCACCCATGCCACAAGCCCACAGGAAATTGCCGTTAGCTTAGACCAGGGCTGGACTAGTTTACCACGAGGCAATTTAGTGGCGCGCCGTGCTCAGTCCCATGTCATGATTCGGCGCCCACGTTCCTTATACCACCTGGTATGTGCCAGGGAGCAACATAGCCTCCCCCCTAACTAATGAACAACTCCTGAAGCCAACAAAGAAAGCCCAAGTCGGGTACGAGACGTTGTTGACAATGTCTTTTTTTTTTCACATTTTGGTTGTAGCTGAGACACTTCCCCCGTCCTCCTTTTGCTTTTCTTTTCCTCTTCTTTCTTTTTTTTTTTTTTTTTTTTTTTTTGTTGGGGGGGGGGGGGGGGGGAGAAACGACAAATGTAGCTCTACACAAGAAACCTCGGGCGAGAAAGGAAATGGGGACCTATTGGGTCTCCCCGTCCCTTCAATACGGTTAAGTTCACGATCACAAAAGCCTAATTTTTCTCCGCAGTCGCTTCCAATATAATTTTTATGCTTTCGAAGGTTACCGATCACGCTGTTCATTTCCCCGTCGGTTGGATGCAGTTAAGTATAGAGTGACTTTCTCTGGGGAACTGCCGCCAGGCTATCTTAGAGACTTGTTCGTCTCATTATATTCTCGCGTGTTAATACGGCCGCTCGGATACTAGCACCAACCTCTTTCCTAACCCCATGCTCCAATCAATCCCCGTTTTATTTACATAAAGTATTACCAACTTCCAGGCCCAATCACTCCCACGCTCTGGGTGAACAGCGCCGGCCCCGCTAAGTCTGTGAAAGATCCCTTAGCCTTGGTCGATCTCTCATCTCGGCTGATTCTAAATATCAGCAGATTGGCTGCCATATCCTGTTTTACTTATTGGCTTCCTCCTCCACTCAACCCCCCATTACCTGTTATTATATTCGTCACCCGGCCTTCCCAACCCATTCAAAATCTAGTCCATATACTTGCTTCTCTTGTCTTTCCCAACTGAACATCCCGCAGTATATCAGGACTATCTATTCTTTTCTCATTTTCCCATCTTGCGACCCTTTTTCTTTGTCAACTGCGGAACACAAGGGGAGTCTAGTATCTGAGGTCCCAAAATCAGATATTGGGTACAAATATCGTTGTTGTTTTCAACATGAACGTTTCAAGCCTGATCAGTTGCGATCAGCCGCAACCATTGCGCGCGCCAGCATCTTCATATTCTGAGCACCGTCGATCCCCATCGGTCCCCAAGCCTTTGCAGACGGAGAGCAGTTCATGCGCTTCTCCATACTCGCGGTTCGAGCGTCTCCCTCTTTCACCGCCGGAGGAGGATGGCAAGACACAGTTCTCACTTCCTTCTATCTCGTCTCTTCTTCGGGGCGTAGATGGTGTTTCTGATGCGCACGTTGCTAGTATGACTCACCCGAGTCTGAATAAAACTGATGATCCTGGCGGAGACTGACATCTGAACAGAGAGACAACGAACCAACCCTCCTCCTAGCATTGACTTAGGGATGGAGAGACGGACTACAGGCCAAACATTAAAGCAGAGGCCAGCGCTGCCTTTGACACCTCCTCTAAGGCCTGAGTCTGGCATGAATAGCACAAGCCAGTCGCCGTCAACATCATCGCCACCACGAAGCGCCATCTCACTACCGAGTCTTGTTCGGAGTTATCCGTCTCCAGTTTCAGAAGTTCCAGAGGGACGACGGATGTCACAGATATCGCGGCATTCGCGAGGGGCTTCGACGTCGCAAACTTCTCAACTTTCAGGCCCAGAAACACGTTACCCATCGCCACCAAATGTCAACTCTCCAACCTTTGCTGCCCCTGTTGAACCAGCGCCAAAGCCGACAGAATACTACCCAGCCAGCCGACCGGTAACGTTTCCACCTGTGGCGTTCGCAGTTCTGCCAAGCCAGCCAACTCATCCTCAGGTGCTTCCTCTTGGAAGTCCTGCGTGGCAGCACCATCATTATTTCCCTCCTTCCAACACAGCAACTTATCCTCTCAATCACGATAGATACATCTGCCGAATATGTCATAAGGCTTTCTCAAGACCGTCCAGCCTGCGAATACACTCCCACAGTCATACTGGCGAGAAGCCTTTCCGGTGCCCCCATGCCGGCTGTGGGAAAGCCTTTAGCGTGCGAAGCAACATGAAGCGACACGAAAGGGGTTGCCATCCTGGAAGATCAGCACCACCATCGGCCCTGGTTAACTGAAAGGGCAAAGAACTCCAGTTCTACAACGGGACTTGAATCTTGTACTGGTCCTTGGCTGCTGATGAAGGGAACATGCCGAACCTCTCAGCACTATAGCGAACACGCAACATGTTGACATTGACGCTAACAACGGAGTTTTCTTTTCTTGTGCTCCTCGAGAAAGCCCTGTCGACGAGGTATCACGAACGGTCGGAGCGACAACTCGCCCCTCTTCGAGAGGAGGGGGAGTTCGTCCTCGAGATGAAACGATACTATTGCTTGGCGGTCTTATAACTGCATGTTCGTCTTCACACGCCGCATGCTCTCATCTCGAGGTAGCTCCTCTTGGTGCAGGCACCGCGGGGCCAAAGAAAAACGTCCCTGTCAATTCAGGAGGCGACTTGGCAAAAGCGAGTACCAAAAGCGATGCGCATCATTTCCCCAATCAAGGGAAAAGTCCATTCGGCATTGTATATATCATATAACGTCATGGTTCTCAGGAGCGTGCAGGGACTAGGGTATAATATAGATGGGGAAGGATCTTTTTTGGTCTTGCACGGGAAGCTTTCCGGTTTAGCACGCCTTTAGCTTTATGGGGGAGGTAAAAATAACAAAAAGGGGTTGTGCTTGGGGTTCTTATTCCCCCTGGATTTATTACTTTTGGAAATTCTTCTTTTGTATTAGTTAGTTGTCTGGAACATTTCTTGGCCTTCTATTCCCTGGATATATTTTATTATCTATTTTATACACAAGAATGAAAGGACCCTGAGGGTCACCTGTCATGCAACTTATCGGACCTTGCTTGAGAATAGGAGCCTCGGGTGAATTCCTCGGATTGGTGCTCCGTACGATGCGTCTTCTACCCCATACTCTGTAAGGGTGATAATGCAGGACAAGGTCTTCCCCGGGGAGTAATAATCAAGGTATCATCCATGAGCTTTCTATCGACGTTTTCGTCACACTAATCATAAATAATCCCAGTATATATAGGAAAATATGGACTATATGCCCAGGAAAAAAAAAAAAAAAAAAAGAAAAAGGATTTTTGCTCCAACCAAAAACCAATTTGCAAAAGTTGTAACACGTGCGTCAATCATGCAGTCTGATCTGATCCCATACAAATAAGACGCAAGGCGGATCTTGTACAGCAGAATATATACTTGCACTCAAGCATCCAAATTCAGCTTCCCTAACAGGCGATCAAGTTTGTTCAGGAGGATCTGATAATTTGCGGCGTCTCTCGCGAACTCGTTACCTGCGATTTCGCCGTCCAGGGTTCTAATTATGGGGCCCGTGGGACTGTCCTTGGGAAGCCGGTTGGTGAGAGCATCCACACCTTCGTCTTCCTCGGGTGTTGTGAATCCCTGTGACGACGATCCCAACGAGTCAGATAGATAGGGTGAGGTTCCCAGGTCCGAACCAGACTGTGGCGCGTCGGCGGGCATTATCGTCATTTTATCTTGTAGCTCAGTCGCAATTTTCTGCGCATCTTCCTCCATCTCGTCAAGGCCGGAATCTTCGTAGGGCGATCTAAAGCGATCACTGAGGTAATATCGGATGTCATCAACCAGTTCGATGGAGTCCGTTTCCTGTCGCTTTTGAATACGAGTTGCTGATTCGAGGACGAGCTGTTCGAACTCTGGCCTGTCGATATGCGACTCCAATCTGTATGCGAGATATCGTGCCGCGAATTCTTCCAGCCGCTGCACGCGCGTCAGCCAAGCGGCACGAATAATTTCGTATATGTCTATTGGCTCTTCTTCTTCGAACTCCTCCACATTGGTTGAAGGTTGAGATTCATTCCTTCCTGGCCATGGGGTTCGTTCCGACTTCTGGCTTCCATTACCGAGCGAGCTGATCACCATGGCTACCTTTGTTTTGAGCCTTTCGATCATAAGGAGATCCGCTGCGTAGAGAACGTCGACTGCCATATCGAGGGGGATGTCCACTTTATCGGTATACAGAAACTTGAGGACAATCTTTAAAACATCAGGGGAGCAGTCCACATGGATGATTTGTAGATGTTGTGACATTTGAGCCTCTCTAAATGTGGAGGAAAACATGGCAAGGAAGAACTCCGATCGGAGAAGCATGGCTCGGTGGGCGGGATATAGGACGGTCTTTCCACAGTCCCGTACCCGTATTGTAGACGTTGGGCGTATAGGGATCCCACCCCAGTCCTCGTCATTTTTGGGATCAAGAAGTAATTCAGTTTGATCTAGGTCCTCAATCATGTCCTCGTCAGCTCGGAGGAGCACATCGGCGAATACGTTGTTGTCCCGGCTCCATTTCACTTCGTTAAACTTATCGGTGTCAACAACAGTTTTATACCTCAGTACATTGTTCTGGAACCACGTTTCCATCTGATCGCGACCCTTCACCACTTCATCCGTCCTTCTCTGCCTGGCTAACCGCCGATCACCACTGTCCAAAATCGTGTCCATTAGGCTGTGAAGCTCCAACTGGGATGCGATCTTGTCTATTCCCGCCAAGACTTCAGACTCCGTGAAACCAGTCCCGGGGCCTGATCTAAGCTCCCGTGGTGCCTCTCCAAGGTAGAGGTATTTAATACCGGCGCTGAATGCCTGTGGCGGAAGCGTGTTTGACAGCTTCAATGTTGTCGCCTCGGGAGAATTGGCCAGCTTTTTCTGGAAATATGGCGATCTTGCGGACAGAATGAATTTATGTAAGTGGAATGATTCATCCGCTGAGGTTACAAGGATATCTGACGTCTGGGGGTGATCTCGTGATAATAATGATGCAATATGTGCAGCATACGGCTGCAGAGGATCGGTCGACTTTGAGTAGTCATACTTCAATAGTAAATTCCGTATCCTATCGTTAAGAGCGTTGTAGAGGCATCTAGGAATACAGAGTCAGTTATTGCTCACCATTGAAACCGCTATCAGTGAGTCAAGGGAAAATAGCACCTTTCGCCTTGAAAAGTGTCTCGCTCGCACAAGGCACCAGAATCAAGGAGAAGCTGCGCGACTTCATAGTGACCACAGAGACTAGCCTTTCACGAGGTGTTAATCCGCCTGTCTCACCCAAATACGAGAGCATAGGGCATCGGATTTCGCCTGAAATAAGAACACCCGCTGAAGCATGGAAGCTCGCCACTCCATCAAAGAGGGATACTTACAAGAATCAGAGGAGTGCAGTCAAAGAGATCTCTGGCATTAATATTCACTCCCTCGGTGATTTTCTCCTCGCACACTTTCAAATCTCCTCTTCGACAGGCCTCACAGAGCTCTTTAAACCCCTCGCTGAGGTCGAGCGGGTTATCTTCCTTCAGCTTTCCAGCCTCGATCAGCTTTCTTTCGTTGTGCAAGCTAGTTGCGAGCTGGTCTTTCCGGAGTAGCGCGGATGACTCTGCCATTTTGAAACCGCAACAGGATCTTCAGTCCCAGCAGAGCAGCGCTGGCGAGTTGAGACCGGACGTCAAGTTCACGATGGCGGCGAAATGGCAATTCGGCAGTTTAGGTAATGCTGACTAATGGATAGTCCGTTCGTTATCGATAAAAGGTCGGAGCTAGCTGTAAATGGCTAGCGCCCATCTCCGCTCAACGCCGCCGGCGCCGTTTCTCGGCACGCTAGCCCTGTTCTGGTCAAGCGTTTCGCTGCAGTTTTGGTTGCTGCGCAACGACGTCAATCTAAACAATTGCTCTTTGAGCGCCGGCGGAGAGCTCCTCAACGTCGAACCGCAGGGCTCTTCACCAGTTGCTCGCAGGCTTATGATACTAACACAGCAGGTTTAATTTTGTCCGATTCCTCGTCCATGCGTGAAGGTCTGCCTTAGTGCTCTCTATTTACCGAATATTATACCATGGCAATCGCATTGGCGGAAGCGGACAAGTATGAGATCCTTGAAAGGATAGGTACACCAAATTACCCCATGCTTCTCCGGCTCTAAGGTACTCTGCTAACCGTTCTTAAGGGAGCGGCTCTTTTGGGGTGATCAGAAAGGTTCGAAGAAAGGCTGATGGATACGTATGCACCTCCGTATCTCTTTCGCTGTGTGTGAAGATAAATGCTAACGGCCCGCGGTTACACCTAGATCCTGTGCCGGAAGGAGATTAATTACATTAAAATGTCCCAAAAAGAGCGCGAACAGCTTACAACCGAGTTCAACATATTAAGCTCGCTCCGGCATCCTAACATTGTGGCATATTACCATCGAGAACATCTCAAAGCGACCCAGGACCTCTACCTGTACATGGAATACTGCGGTGGCGGCGATCTTAGCATGATAATCAAGAACCTCAAAGCAAACAACAAATTTGCCGAAGAAGAATACGTCTGGCGTGTCCTTTCGCAGCTTGCTACTGCACTCTACCGCTGTCACTATGGCGTTGACCCTCCGGAGGTTGGGTCCAACGTCTTCGGCGCTTTGCCGTCTACGAAGCCAACAGGGTTGAAGGGAAAACAGGCGCAGGTGATGATTCTGCATCGTGACCTCAAACCTGAAAACAGTATGAAGTTTTAGTCTGCCTAACTTTGAAGTCGATAGCTAACGTTGTGTAGTTTTTCTGGGGGCGGACCAGTCCGTGAAACTGGGCGATTTTGGCTTGTCGAAGCTGATGGGCTCCCACGATTTTGCATCAACTTACGTGGGAACACCATTCTACATGTCGCCGGAGATTTGCGCTGGAGAGAAATATACGCTCCATTCAGACATTTGGGCTGTGGGTTGCATCATGTACGAGCTCTGCATGCGCGAGCCTCCTTTCAACGCCAGAACGCATATGCAATTAGTGCAGAAGATTCGGGAAGGAAGATATCCCTCCTTGCCTGACCTATATTCGCCTGAGCTCAAGAGCGTTATTGCGAATTGTCTACGCGTCAATCCGGATCACCGTCCCGATACTGCTGCGCTTTTGAAGTTACCGGTTATTCGGCTGATGAGAAAGGAGAAAGAGGTCGTTGATCTAGAGAAAGCTTTGCGAAGTAAAGAAGAAACTGCACTACAAAAGATGAAAGAATTGGAGCTGAGGTGTGCTCAATTCGACAAAGAAAAGGCCGCTTTGAAAGTGGATATAGAGAATTCTGTTCGCCGTGAGTGGGAGGTCAAAGCAAGGCTAGAGATCGATCGACAAGTCCAGATGGAACTCGAAACACTCCGAAAACGTTTTGAAGCGGAAGTGCAGGATAGGGTGGCTGCTGAGCTCCAGAGACAAAGAATCATCCAGAGCCAGCCGTTGCAAAACGAAGACGATGCAGTAGGCTCATCAACCGACGTGTCTCGTTCATCACTTGGTACCGACGATACCGACTTCCCATCTTCAACCGATCTAAGCTCCCTTTCGCTGGAATCTCCAACTTCAGACCAGACCAGAGCTGCCAGGAAGTACAACCGAACGCCCTTCAGCCGCGCCAAGACCACGCTTGAATCTCCCATGGATGTGCAAATGGCGGAGCCGTCACCAATGAGCATTGCATCGCTTTCTCTTTCTCCTCGGCGTATGCATCTTGGGTCAACAGCTAGAAATATATTCGCTGACAATGGAAGAAAAGTCCCTAAATGGGATTCGACACTATTGTACTCAGATGATGAAGATGACATTCCGGATCTTCCATCACCTTCTCGGCCACAGGTTAAGGCTGATCCATTTAAGGCCCCACACCGACCATTGCTGCGGCAGAACACGACAGCAATGATGCAGAAGCTTAGCACTCAGCCCAGTTTGTTCCCGGCTAAAGCTACGACTCAGAGTGCGCAAGCGAGTTCTCCTACGCAGTCAGAGACACGTATTTCCGAAGGAAGGGCAAAGTCGCCGCATCGGCGTCTCTCTAAAATTCCATCATGTACTAGTTTGGCACTTGATGGAGGATCACCTGTCCGCAGAACGGCAATGAAGCCTCCAAATTCTAAGGCTAACGCTGGTGGAGAAGAAATGTTCAAGGCTGTGATGCAGAGGAATATGGGTGGCAGGACACTTGTTGAGCTGGCCCAGGCCCGAGCTGGCGGCAGGCCTATCGAAGAGCTGAAACGCCCTGGCGAAACCAGATTTTCGACCACTGGCCTAGCAACAGTGAAACCTGTTGAGCGAGACCCGCCCGCAATCTGGGATCCTGAAAAGGACGAGATGCCGAGCCCCTTTTTGGTTCGCGGGACTAAGATCATTCGAAATCTTCGTTGAATGTACAACAGATTTACCAGTCAAGCGATACGTCACCACTGACTGCGTAATTACGGATGTGCGGCGTACGTGCCTGAAATATCTTTTTTCGATATCCCTGCAACGTTACTCTTGAAAAGCTTGGGCAAAAGTAATAAAAATTGCTTGTCTAAAGGCGTTTCTACCGGACACTTTCTGTCTGGCTTCAAACGGAAGTTATCCGCTATCCTTTATATCGTGAGTTGGGGCCTCGAGGAGTTTTGGTTTGTCGCATTTGCACGGCGTTGGGGATCCCGGGTATGACGGGGCTCGCTTCTTTTCCTCCTTCTCGACTTTCTTACCATCGTTCTGGGGGCAGGCTTTTGCATGAGTCGGGTGCTATCGTTCCTTTCTTGGGGGGTATTGTGTCATGATACGCCTTGTACCATCGTTTTCCCTTCGCCTCGCGAGGTTTTGGTTTTTCTCATTAAGAGTGTGCATCCTGTTCGGTACCAGTCCGGTTATCATGCACTTCAGCATTCGTTTATTTTTCTCCTTTCCACGACTTCAAGCATTATGCCTTTGGTTCCTCCTTACCTTAATGACACTAATAACCATGCCTCTTCAGGCGTACGCATTTCGTTTTCGCTCTTTTTGTTGGTGGTTCAGTCGGTTTTAGAGATCCTTTTTTCACCAAGGGGCTTGGTTTCCCCCCTTTTAACGCCCTTTTTCCTCTTTTGTTTCCCTTTTATTTTGTTTATCACCAAACTCCAGCTAGGATTGAATGACAATAAGTTCTTCAAACTTCGCGTTCTGTGCTATATGTAAGATTTACCTTTGTTTCCCGCATTCGTTACTGACATCATAACTGGTAGGCATTTAGTCCCCCTGTATCATATGGAAACATCAAAACCAGCAGACTTTGTCCCATAAATTATATTCAACACATGACAATGGCCCATCACCAATGTTAGAGTCTTAAAAAGTCGAATTTCATTTTAGACAAATCTTATTTGCCTATCAAAACTGCAATTTCGGGTCTATTGCTGTGGTACAGACCGTTTTGGGTTTTCTGGCCCAACTGTATGTATATTCCACCTCTCTTGTAGAAACTCCCTGTGTCCAGGTAGACATGTATTTAGGGCCTCTTTGACTCCACCTCGAGGGGTCGAAGGAAGCGGTGGCCCACGCCCTTGTTGAGAAAGCGCATCTTCTTGCCCAGAAGAACGTAGGAGCTCTTCATGGCTTTGTCGTCCTCGGGGACGACGCACTTACGATGTTCGTGAACCTTGTAGAATTGTTGCAATTCCTTGTCCGTGCTGCAAAAAGGCCTGGCGTCGCAAAGGGTTGACTCGGAGCCGCCGTTTTCTTCCCCGACAAATGAGAACCTAGAAGACTTTCCTGCGGAACGGATCGAGGGCGGTGATGTGCTCATTCATGTCTTCGGCGAAATTGTACCTGTTGATAACGCTGTTGAGCTTAAACCTGACACCGTGCTCGCGGCACAAGTTTGTGGGGCGCATCATGTCTGGGAGATGCGCCCCTTTTCCACTCGTAAAGACGTTTTGAGATGCGGAATGAGATGATCGAAATCCCAATGTTTGTTAACCCGGGCGTGAAGTCATATAGTACATGCAAACACTTTAGTTACATGGCTGGATGAGCGGTGTCGCTGCCGTGCAACTGCGCTTCGGGAAGGAGAGCGCATACAAAATGAATAAAGGAGAGGATTGCTCTCCTGGTGCTTGCTTTGGCGGCGGAATGGTAGGAAGGGCGATGATGCCAGGAGGCAGGCTACTATAAAGTTTAACCAAGGTAACTTAGCTCAACTTGCTTTCAGAACTCCTTGCCAGCGAAGCTGTGGTGGGCAAATGCAAAACTGTCTGAGACGCCACGGTGCAACGTGCAAGATGGAACCTGGTGCTAAATCAATGGTTCCGCAATCTCTAGCTAGCGCTAATATCATATTTATCCTGGGAGGACCCGGCGCTGGTAAAGGCACTCAATGTGCAAAGCTCGCAACAGATCTCCCTGTGATGCACCTGGGTGTCGGAGACTTCGTCCGGGCTGAACGGGAGGCGTTGTTCACCTGGTGCCGGGCAATTGATCGAGAAGTGCATCCGCGAGGGGACCGTGGTTCCTTTGGACCTAGTGATGGGACTCCTGAAAGCAGCCGTCGTCGGGCATGTTGAAGCCGGCCAAATGAATATCCTTGTGGACAACTTCCCACGGGATATGGAGCAAGCAGCGGCCTTCGAAGCGCAGGTGCCTATAATCCGATACTTGTACCCTGGCAGACCCTGCGTCTAACTAGCGTGGGTAGATTGGGCCCTGCAGAGCAGCCATCTTCTTTGAATGTTTGGAGGAGACACTGTTAGGCCGTCTTCTCCAGCGGGGAAAGACTTCAGGCAGAATCGATGACAATGAGGTCTCCTTTCGGAAAAGGATGAAAGATTTCAACGAAAGGACCATACCTGTTATCGAGAGCATCTGAAGCGTGTGATCGAGTTAATAGCGGTATGAATGGCACATACCTAGGGTGAAAGTATCCCCTTCCTTGCTAATAAACCAGGTGGACTGCGAGCGCGGAATTGATGAATTATATCCATCGATAAAGCAACTGGTAGAGGTATGGGCCGAATTGGTTTTCTATACCATTGTATACCTGACTGCCTCCGAGAATCTTCTCCTACCTGGCCACACGACTCTCAAGAGATGACCAGCTAATTTCTGGAAGAGGCTCTGTTACTTTGAGACCGGATGGGGTTGTGCTGTAGCTCAAACGCCATGGGTTCGCAAGGCCTATATCATTTTCTTTCAAGAAAGAACCATTAGAGGGAGCAATAGTACGTCATATATGCTCCAATATTTTTTTCCTTTTTCTCTCTCTCTCCTCTCTCTCTCCACCCCGCGTCAAAGGGCAACCCTCACTAGGGGTGCCCCTAAAATTGTGGTTAACTTGAAGATTATTCAACGTAGATAGTCTCCTTAGCCACGCAGCAAAAGATGCTGCATTGGTGGTCCTTTTTTCGCTCCTTTTATGAATTCTCGATCCCTTATACGCTCGGTTAGAGTCTCGAACTCCGGAATAAACAATTACCTCTAGTCTGTCCTGAGCGTAAAGCGACATTTCACGCGTCCCGCTATCCAGGACCCGTGAATTTGCATAACACCAACAATGACGCAGCCGATGAAGCGCAATAAACAATAGCGAACGCAAGGCGCTTTTTGCCGACATATTCGGTATGAGGACTGGCCGAGAATAGCTGGTCATGTGCGTAGCCTTTAGCGTATCCCGAAACATGCTCGACGAAGCGGCTGTCGCGAGGCTGCTGAAAGGATTTTCTGTGGTTTTCCATGGATGAACGGCCAGTTATCCAACGTGTTTCAACGGCATGTTGGATGGCATATAACGATCCAGCATAACCCATGCCGTTCAGAGCGCTGTGGGCCAGATGTCCCTGGGAAACATTGAATTTGGCAAATCGTCCGGAGAACGGAGGAAAAATTCTGATGTTATCTTGCTGGTTGACCGCTATGGAGGCTAGGTGTAGACAACTCCGTTTGAAGCCTTTCCTCGCCACTAGTTATCACAATGTCAACTGGTTGGGCTTTACTTAACTCGCCCGTCGACAGTTCGACATGATGCACTACGAAGAAGACGAGGTTTTCTCGCTACACCCCGCTCTTCGACAGGGGTTGCATTTCATTGATCTGTTCATTCGACCCATGCCAAAACATCTTCACGAAATATGGCAGTAAATAAATTATTGGCCTCTTTAGCAAGCGCCACAAACGAGCTCACCCTCTCTGCTGCTACCCTGAACCTAGACTTCTTTCTTTTCAGATTTGAGGCCCCTCCGTCATACCGGGACTTTGGCCTGAGTCTTTCCAGTAAAAGACGCCAAAACGCTGAAGGTGGCAGCGCACATATCACGGCGAGGAAGCTAGGGGCATTGTTTGAAAACATTTTACCGAAAACATCATATTTGGTGGATGCGTATGGCGCACGGGTATCTGCAGTCATAGCGCGCCCAGATATAAAGCCCAAGGAAGACTTTGCAAAGGGGTTCTTTGCTGCGGAAATAGGGCCTGATGGTACGACAATATGGGCTGCCGCAACCTCGGGACCTGGTGCCGTCCCTGTTCATCTTCTAGCCTGTCTACTAGCTCGTCGGTGGAACGCTCTAATTGCAACCTCGATTTGGGTAGAGTTGGTCGAAGAAAGAAAGAAACAAATTGCTACGGAGTTCGACAACGGCAACGCAACGCATTATTCGACCTTGCAGGCTGCTCGACAAGATATCAGCCGTGAACAGCTCGCTGAATGGGATGCCGGTGCACGCGCATGGCTCGGAACTGCGGATGAAGTTTTACGGGACAAGGTTGAAAAACAGCGCTTGACCGTCGCAGAACTGGATCTACCGATTGAAGGGGCGAACAACCTCTTCAAAAACGTAATGAATACCTGGAAAGTGGCTCTGACAACAATGGAGAACCTGCTATCCGGTCAACCTCAGCGAATATATAGCGGCTCTGCACTTTTAGGACTATCATCCTGGCACATATTCCCTGATCTCATTGTTCTTGGATCTTCTGTTTCGGAGATAAAATTTGAAGATGAGTTAGTCAAGACGAGCGGTGTGCTGACGATAGGATTGGAGTTAGACATCCTAGAAACGGAAGCGTTTGATATGACTGGAGTCCAATGGTCCTTATCTTTAGCACACCTGAAGTATTACGGGCCTCCAGTTATCGCATCTTCGAGCGTTGAGAATGACCATTCGAGGATTCACTTCAGCGACTTTTCTGCTGTAGATCTCGGGACGCTCCTACCGGTCTGAGTTTTTTCGCTGCATGCATGAACCAAATTGCGAGCTTGCATGAAGCAGAGCATGTGCATTTTGAAAGGCCCTGCTTGGCCACGATGAGCCAAGTTCAGGATTATCTGAAAACGGGTGGCGCTTGGGTCAAGGTCTTTGCCCGCGCAGCTTCAGCTCTCTTGGGATCGGACCTGGAGGATGCAAAGTTGGCTCGATTACCCATTAAATGCGGACAAAAGCACGGACGAACATTCTTCAGCGGAACGCCCGAAATCATACAACGTTTGTTTGGTTTTTGCAACCCTCAAGCTCTTCTCGAACTGTTGCCAAATTCGAATTTACATATAGATCTTCTTCGGAAAATGGTATCAAAACTATGTCCACGAGGCAATGAAATACTCATTCGGTACAATGCGGCCTGTGGTCCTCTCGACGAGAAGCCTGTTGACGATACGTGCGCCATAGCCTGGGAATTTGCAACGGCTGTACCGGAGCTTCAAAGGTCGAAAGGGTATTGCGAAGATAATTGCAAACTTTCCTCAAGGCATAAAAGATGGGCCCCGATTGAAGTGTTTGCTGCTAATTCGATGTGTGATTGTATTGGCACGTGTGTCGACTGCGCTTGTCGTGGACAATGTACATCCATCTGCCATCGAAATTCGCAGCCGAGAGACTGTATTAATGAAGAAGCCGGCATCACGTAACAACTTATGAATGATTGGCATGACTACGTGCATAGTCTTGGAGAGGACGCAGAGGTAGTTCTGGACCCTTGGGCCACGATCAACCCTTTCGGATCCTTTATTCCATTTCGAAAGGCCCCAGTGTGCTGAAGAGGAATTTTATTTCAGCCGTGAGCCAGGCTCAAAACCGGTTAAATATCTCCTTGTTGCCGGGATCCCTAGGGTCGCGGCGCTGTACATTCCCAGCCATCTTTACAAAAATGATTCCAGGGAGAGTTTCGGGCAAGACAAACCTTCTCTTCCAGAGAGCTCAGAGTATGCGAAGTGTCCTCTCAGTTGCGGATGTCGTTGATCTAGTGTTTTCCAATGCGGTATCTGCTCATACGCTCTGCAGCTTGATCAGACACCTTCAGGAAACGATTCTCGCCTCCACCCACCGTGGATTGGACAGTTACTATCAGCTCTTCAAAAGTCTAAGAGCTCTTGGGCTAACCGATAAGTACAGAATGGTGCCATCGGCAACTTTGGCGATAAGATCGATATGTGCGCCACTGTATAAGGCTCGCTGGATTCCTCCTATGGCAGGCCTGTCAGCCAATGCTTCTCATGATCTTGACCGTCCTCGCACTTTTGCTTGTATTGCTATGTTTGAGTCAGGACATCTTAATCTCGATCCCTATTTACTAAATGAGGTCTTCCCAATGCCCTCAGTTGACTCGCTGTTTATCAGTGGTTCAATTTTATGTGATCCTTCAGAAGTTCCAGATCAGTTTGAGGTACATCGTGTTGTTGGCAATGTCGGTCGCGCGGGCATAGCCCTCCTAATACCGCCGCAAGCTCCTCAGATTAAGGCGGTTGATATTGGATCATGGAACTTGCTCTCACACGATAAGTTTGACGGGGAGATAATCGATTCCTTTCCGGGTACATCAATGCACCTAGCCTTCTCAGGATATAAGCTACCTCTTCAGACTGGTGCTAATGATATGCAAGATGTCGATGCCTATTTGCTAGAGTCGATCGTCCAAGTCCGGGACAAAGGTAAATGGGTTGCAGATGTTGATATCCTCAAAGCTGTGAAGCCCCGGCGCAACCTCAGCCGCGTGGGGCGGTACCGAAGCAATGACAGATGCGATCACTGTGTATCTCCAACCACGATTGACATACCCATGACCTCTATAGACACATGGGAAGAATTGCTTGAGGGCCCTGAAAGACTAGCCGTTGCACGAGCTCATGGCAATTGATTAAGTAGGCTTGCATTGACATGCGTCGCTGCACCTAAGGGCTACAGTATTTACATCCTCCCATCTTCGTTTTGCTGGAAGTGCGCCTCCTCAGGACTGCGTTGTTATGGTTTTGTGAATGTATCGACGCTTTTTTATGGATAGGAGAACGCGATTGGTCTCAATGGTCTTTCTAGAACGCTGGATTTCCAACTCTGTAGCAAGTGTAAGCTTCTGAAGCTGAAAGCTATGGGATTAAGAGACGTCCAGCAGCGGTATGGATAGGTGGAGAGTTTTTTTCTCCAGGGTCAGGCTATGCTTCTGAGATTTGCAAGGCATTGGCATTTAATGTCCGCAAATGAGGGATTGGTTTCACCCTTTCCCAATAATAAGTGGAAGACAAGTTGAATTTGGTTGAACTTGTCTGGTCTTTGCAATTTTTTAACAAAAGCACAATCCGGGCATCCCAGATGTTCAACTGATGGCACCGTAAAAGGCATCAATGGGTGTACCTCGTAATCGACACTCTCCTTTATATTCCATGTCCGTGACATCCTCCGAAGATATATCCGATCAAGTATTTTCGGGAAACACGTTATCGTGAACCCACACAGTTGGTGTCGTCCAAACTTCCGCATTTACCGTCCACGACTCCCTTGCTCAGACAGGGTCAGTTGAGTAATGCAAAGCTATGCTTGGCTCTTTTCCTCCGCATTGTGTAGAGGGCGTCAGCCATGGGTACGGCACTTTGAGCAACGTAAAGGACATTCTTAAGCTTTTGCAAGAGGAATTAGTGAATTCCCACAGGTCTAAGCTGATGAATCCACAGGTTGGCATTATGACACCTTTTTGTAAGTAACAAGGAGAGTAAGGAGGAGGAGTGCGTTTTTACGACGGCCGATATTCACGGATCACGAGGGAGCTTCATCGAAAAAATTACCCTAGCAGCCTCGACCGCGGTTCGAAAGGCCTAGTTTAAGCTTCCGGATACGATGCAGTGGGCGATCTCACGAGAACACCCCACTGCAAGCTGTCGCTCTGTGCCGTCCGCTCCGAGGTTTGAAACACTTCAAAAAGGCTGGTAAGACTCCCAGCGTGGAGAGCAGCTTCATTGTTTATATGTCATCTACCCGTTAACAACGCCTCATTGGGTCGTTCACATTCGGAGGGATTTCAATCATAAATATTTAATCTACTTTAATTCCCAGACAAGACTCCTAATAAAAGAAGGCAATCACAATGGTAGATTTATCTTTTCAAGTTCCGTTCGTTGCGGTTGACAATAATGCGTGGACAAATGCTAATTTACTCCTTTGAAAAGGCCTCTTCCTCTGCTTCACCTGTCCAGCCAAAGCTGATCCGCCTCCTCTACGATTCTGCCTGCGTCATCCTCACTGCGGACCTGTTCATTTTCTACACGGGTTCCCGCCTCCTGTTTCCGGAGCAAGAGGAAATTCGTAGCAGCGCCGCCCTGCGCTTCTTTCTGCGTTGTGCAGCAAATACGTCTTTCCCGTTTGCGTTGTGCAGTTGGCTCCTCCGAGATTATCATATCCGACACACGCACGTAGGACGAGTGGTAGGATCGTGTTTTGCCCTGTCTCATGCTGCCTCAGTGGCCCTGTATAGCTGGAGCAGGTGGGTAGGTGGGGAGTACCAACTCGCAAACTTTTGGGGTATTGTTGGCTTGCATGGTACTTGGGCGGGCATCGCCTTGTGGGGACTACTCAGCGCGTAGTTGAGTGATAGAAGATATATAGAGGAGTGGCTGCGATTAATCCGCGACGGCCATAGATATAACGAAGCAGCATGTGTTGGGAAGACCGGTCTGGCTGATACGGCAGTGGTGTTCTGCCTGCTTGCGGCAAGGACTGTAGCTTGTATCATATTTCCTCATCCTCCACTTCCTCAATCTGAACGTGTTTGAGCTCTCGCCGAAAGCGTTCCTCCTCTTCTGCCAATGTAGCTGCATCAAGATTCGCCGAGGTAGGCTTTGTCTCTGAATCTGTCCGTTCAGCATTAGCCGCAGGGCCAGAAGCCTGAGTAGTAGAAGTATATCCTTCTTTTTCTAAACGGTCCAATTCTTCCGGTTCTACCAACCGTCCCTGGCCTTTGACAGCCGCTTGCTTCACCCTTACAGCCGCAGGAACAAACTTGCTCACGGCCTCCTGTTGTAGATTTCTGATGACCGGTGCAGATTCGTAGACTGTTCTAGCTTCCACTGGAGGTTTCTCTGGTAGACCGTGTGTCTGGCGCTTTTCTTCGCCCTCGTTATCACGGGCAGGTCCTCGTCGTAGGTATTGGCGTGGGATCGGGGGTGGAGTGTCCCTCGGCATGGGTATATTTCGAACGCTCTCGTCAGTATCGCTACTGTCATCATGTCGTCTCCGCTGATCCCATCCATCTCTTCTTCTTTTCCCCAACACTCCTCGATCGGAATCCCTGTCGCGGTGCCTCGACTCGCCACCCCCGAATTTGGGTGCGCGGTCTCCGAGGGCCTCTCTTGCCTTCTTAACCGCCTTAAGGTCTCTTTCTAGGCCCTCAAGTATCTGCTTGTCCCGTGGCCTCAGTGGCTGCCCCGACTCCTCGATCGCCTTCAGCTCGTCAATTTGCCGCTGGAGCCGCTCCGGATTCCGACGAGCGAGTTTCTCATTACGACGGGCCTGAAGCTCAGCCTTTCCTTTTTTCAACGCACGTTGTTTCTCCAATCGGCGCTGGGCTTGGGCCGGGTTGACGGTGCGCTCTTTGTCCTTCGCCATGGGTAGAGCCGTCGATTCTAGAATGCAGGAAGGTGTGACTCGGCGGTTAAAACGTGCAGCGGCTTAAAGTTCAGAAGTGTGATAAAAGCGATATTTGGCTGTCAGTTGGTAGCTGCGGGTCTGGAGTACCGAACCGGGGAAAGGCTAAGAAGTCACGTCGAGCTCCACTGACGAGGTGTACGTACAAGCCCGGTTGGATGCTGCCTAAGCGCTCAGCACCCGATTCTGAAATCCTACAGGCTCGATTTTCCGGGGTATCCTCTAAATCCAATGGAGGCCGATGGTATGTTCTGGGAGGCGTTGAAGCCTCACGGGTTGGGCAGCGGTAACAGTGGATCGTCTGCCTTCTCGTTCGTGTTGTATGAAGCGAGCTGAAAGCTGTCTACGTCGAGCAAATATGGGTGATTTTTTTCGTCCTCCAACGATGCAGAGGCAAAGAGGAAGAGATTCGAGGGTTGAAAAAGCCCCGTTGCCGCTTCTCGCCAATTAGAGGCCCCGATGGAGACTCTTTTTTTTTTTTTTGGAACCGTGGGTTTCGAACGTCCTCGTCTTCCGGGGATGCACGCGTGATGGGGAGCTTTGACTTGGATTTTGTTTTTCCCTTTTTTTTTTTTGCTTCTTTTTAATTCACTGAATTCTGTGGTAGGAAAATGGAGTCAGTGTCAGGATCCATGGAAGCGCTAAAATGGAGCAGACCTTTTCCGCATCTTAGCCCCAGGCGGGAGGCGACAGACCGCTTCGACTGATACTGTCGAGCCGGGAGTAGGCTGGCAACGGTTTTACATCAATGGGGGGATGAGAACGGGTGTACTTTGGGCGCAGCAAAGAGGGTTGGGTATGGTTGTTGGCGTCTGTCTCCTGAGAACGTTTTGTAGTTACTTTTTGTCGCTACTCCACAACGGTCAGCAGCACATCCCATTTCTAGAACCTTTCAACGCTCGCTCCGCTTCGCCGCCCGCAGCGTGGTTAGAGGACTCTTTCTGCCTCTCTCTTAGGGTCTCTCTCTCTATCCCACTGAATACACCGTCCTTGCTACTGCTATACCAGCCATTTGTCCCTTGTTCGCCTCTTGCGCATAGTTGCGACGCTGAATCCGCCTCTCCCGTTGCGCCTCCTGGTTGGCTGCAGATAGGAGGCGAGTCTCCAAACACATCCAGATCTGTACACCACGACCATCCTGCAGTCCAGGTATATTCAAGCGTTACGAAACCGTTTGGCGCTATCTCAAACGAACTCATCTGTCCCAAGCCAGCGTGTCCTGCCTCCTTTCCACCATGCTCGGCCGTCAATTCTATCTATCAAGCTCATTCCGCACTCCCGTCGAGCGTCGATTCTAAGAGTATGTCTTTGGTATACAAGTCGGTACCAGATGTCCGCGTCAATGTCCGTTCCTGATGCCCGACTTGGCCTCACATCGTCCGAGTGGCAGATGGTTGTACACCAGCAACAGATTGCGCTGCAGGGCAGCCATAATGGCAGCATGATTTCACGGGGGAGAGGTATGGGGAGGAGCACATCAAGTTCAAGAGCCGCCAGTGCTGCAAGCAGCCAGGGAAGGCTCCTCTTAGATCCGGATAGTCTCCAGGCTTTGTATTATCAGCTCGACCATCTTCTGAGGGACATTCGCCGGAGGATTGAATATGTAGGTCGCCCCGTGTCTCCTTGGTCCGCTGACGCAGCTTCTACATGTTCTATTTTCCCATCTGCCAGTCCCCTGAGGTCTGATATCTTGTTTGGTTGTTCTTTTCTGGCTCTGGAATTCTGCTTTATTTAGTGCATATTACTTCCAGAACTTGGGATGGCACCGAGTCATGTTCTAACTCTGCGCAGCTGAATGAGCAATCCGAACTTTCAATACAAAACACCTATGACCAAGCGGGAAATGTAATTGCGGATGCAGACGTGGAAATAGCACGTGTTCGACAAATCATTGCCTCTATCGACGAGCTGGAGATGGAGTTTGACAAGATCAAACGGATTCGAGATATCGTCAAAGGTTTTCGCGCCCGGGTAGAAACCTTGGATCATCGCTTGGATCAAGCATCGCGCAGGCGGCGTTGATGCTGTAGCCCTCTCCCTTTTTTTTTTCTTTTGGCTTCCTTTGGCACCTGCAGCGGCGATCTCGTCAACTATACATCTCTAGACGAACACGCAATTAACACCATACGATATGTTTCTGCACGGAGCAATTTACGGAGTTTTGTATGATGACACGAAGGAACGGCTTTCATTCTCTTTGATATTATATGTGAAGAAGACCTCTCTGCTATGAATACGGTTCCACAACCCCATATTCCACGATCTCTAGACGGCTATTTCCCCCCGTTGGACCCATAATACCTAATCCGCTACCCGCCTTAAGCAGCTGTCCAACAGCCATCAATCACTCGCGCCCATTCCTCCGGCTTAGACGAACCCCATTCTCTTCCGCTGAATCTACACTGTGCTTGGGTTCTACAGCATACCATGAGGCTCATGACACACGCTACTCGCATATTTCATATCTTCTGACTTGTAGATATCTGATCTTGCCTCTCTATACTTGCAGCGACCTTATACCCACCCCTCCCCAGACTACTATTTCTCAGATATTTTCTTTTGTGTTTTGTCTGCCACGCGCCAAACGCTTGACTTTCTCTTTTGACACTTTTTGTAATTTTTCCTCTGCTTCTTCTTCTTTTTTTCTTTTTCTTTTTTCTTTTTTTTTTTTTTTTGGAAGATTGGTTCATGCCTCACGGCAGCAGAATGTGCCTTTGACCCCATATCATTTTTAGTTTACTTTTACCTAACCTCTTTTCAGACAGCAGTTTTTTTTTGTGCTATTTAACATTGCAAAAACATTTAATGAAATATTTGATAATGTCTGGTCTAGCTCCCCTTCAGCCTGTGTAGTATATATGGAAATCGGGATACCATCCTGAGATCGAAGCCATAGCAAGATCGAGTAAAGAAAATTCAACTTTGCACAGTTGTACGCAATGCGCATACCGTGACGCAATCCTTTCGAAACGTCAGGTGAATCGGCATCCTTCCACATCTGAAAACAACTCTCATTCGAAATAGTTGTATCACTCGTGCCTCGGACAGCAAGTCTCCCATTTCACATTGTGGCTGTAGAGAGCAAAGCATAAAGAGAGAAATTTGGTAGAGAATTCGGAGTCGCCTGCTAATTTTAAGTCTGAGCGACCGCTTACTCGCCCTATTTGTTGCTCCTGTGCACCACCTAGGAACATACTGTCCCAAGTCGCCTGGACCCAGCGCCAGACTTCAGGCAGAGCACCTAGGCAACGGTCCTCGCCTTCACACCCTTCCCCCTCCCACAAACAGAAAAAAAAGGAAGAAAGGAAAAAGCAAAGAAACGCAAAGGCTCCGAGACGAAGACGGTCGTGGCAAAGTTTCCACCGTGCCTTCAGCCTGCAGCAACTTCTGTTTTGGCTGCATCATCTGCATGTCGTCGGCGATCGACAAGTTTCATGGTTCTCTTCTTAACTTGAGGGTACCGCTTTACAGTTCCGCAAACGCCGCACTTGACAACGAGAACATCCGCCCATGGCTTTGTCCCACCACGACTCTTGTTCTCAATCTCTTTCGAACAAGTCGACCCAGGTACCAGTATAGTATCACATCGTTTGCATAATGTGTGTTTGACGCCTCGGGGTAATTTTTGCTGAGATTTCAACGAAGTGGCTCGAAGCTGGGAGGCATATTGACGAGCCAGATGTGACGGGCGACCGATGATGTTGGCGGGCAAATCTGGCACTGCGGGTTGGTCTAGCGACTCTGGGGCACGAGCGATGGAAAGGCTTTCTATGTTCCCTGCACGTAGCGAGCCGCTTGGATCCCTCTCTGCATGTTGTAGCTTGCTCAGCGAAGCAGGATCGTGAGCAGATTGGAACAAAAGGGAAGCCTTGTACAGATATGATATTCTCGCGAAAAGATGGCCCTGTGCTCCTCCGGCAGAGCCCTTCTGGCCCTTCGCCTTCGCCATCGTTTCCTGGCAACAAACTGCCAGAGAAGCTTCTTGATTGATAATCGGGAAACAGCCGCAGATCGAGTTTTAGTCATCAAGCTAGGCAGAAAAGCTTCCATTCTACCCAACAGCCAGCCACAGGATGAAGAAATTCCTTCGCGCCACAGCATTGGCCAATCAGAATTTTACAAACTCCATTCGGAATATACTGTGGCGCGTCAATTACCACGTGCCTGTACCATTCCCGAAGAGGTTAGGTGGCGTCTGGGCGGCTCCGGGGCGCCAGCGAAGCAAGCAGCCAACCTTTGACTCTCCCTCGCTGACAACCTCCCGACTCACCTTTTTGCACCGCGCCGTCTTTGTCTCTTCTCCGTCTTCTTCTAATCAATTCCTCGCTACATTCTATTGTAAAACCGTCCATTATTGACTTCCTCTATCTTTGTTGTAATTTGCAGACGTCTTTTGTATAACTTGTTGCCTGTCTGCTTTCCAACCACCTCAAATACTCCGATTTTTCTTCACGTCAACGCGTGTCCGCACGACCACCTCAAAAAAAATCCATCACCATGTCCCACGAGGAAGATCTGATCGACTACTCCGACGAGGAGCTCCAGACAACCGATGCCGCTGCTGCTGCCGCCACCGCCGCCGCGGCTGCAAATGGCGCCGCTGTGAAAAAAGGTGACTTGACCGTGTCTGGCGCGCGTGCGGACAAGAAGGGTAGCTATGTTGGCGTCCACTCGACTGGTTTCCGTGACTTCCTGCTGAAGCCGGAGCTTCTGCGTGCGATCACCGATTGCGGTTTCGAACATCCTTCGGAGGGTTAGTTAAATCATCTTTTTCACAAAGCTTTCCTCCACTTCCTGCATCTTCAAACGTCCGTCCATCCATCACGAGTGGGGTGATTGTCGAATCAATCAGCCCATCACGAAGCCTTCAGGCGGCACGAGGATATGCCTTCGAAGATAACAAGACTGTTTGCATTGAAGCTGCACCGTTGGCCCCTGTGATTCCCTGTGGGGGATTCTTAAAAGGGCGTGCCGTCGTGGGCTTTCTCCAAATGCAAGTTCACTGTTGATCGCTCATCACGAGGGATATATTCGGTTTCGATATGGAAATCAAGAACTCAGGGTGCAAAATACCTGGTTGTGGGATGGAATCCTCGTGTCGACCTGTACGAAGGAGGCTTTGAGTTGTGTCATGAGTGCTCCCTTGCTCCGGCCATTTACTGCAATTTCCACGCTCCTTTTTTTCGGACCTTTCCCTCCCTATATATTTGTTGATTGTTCCATGAGACCCTTTTACGATGGACGGACGTTTGGGATATTCAGCGTCAAAATTATGCCAAGTTTTAAGCATTGGATCGAACCAAGTCTAACATATCGCTCGCTCCTCATACAGTCCAGCAAGTTTGCATCCCGACCGCCATCCTCAAAGTCGATGTTTTGTGCCAGGCAAAGTCCGGTCTGGGAAAGACAGCAGTCTTCGTTTTGACTACCTTGAACCAGCTTGAGCCTGTTCCTGGCGAGTGCTCGATCCTCGTCATGTGCCATACACGAGAGCTTGCCTACCAGATCAAGAATGAGTATGCTAGATTCAGCAAGTATCTCCCCGATGTCAAGACCGCGGTCTTTTACGGTGGAACCCCAATGCAAAAGGATATCGAAGTTCTCTCCTCCAAGGACACCTACCCCAACATTGTTGTGGGTACACCTGGTCGACTGAACGCTTTGGTCCGCGAAAAGAAGCTTTCCCTTCGAAACATCAAAGCCTTCGTCCTAGATGAGTGCGATAAGATGCTAGACCAGATAGGTGAGCAATTTGTCGAGTTCTCTCGCTTTAAATGTCGCCAAGCCCTCTGACGCTCTGATTTATCTAGACATGCGACGTGATGTCCAGGAAATTTTCCGCTCCACTCCTGCTGACAAGCAAGTCATGATGTTTAGCGCCACCCTTTCCCAGGAGATTCGGCCCATCTGCAAGAAGTTCATGCGGAACCCTCTGGAGGTTTACGTGGACGATGACACCAAGCTAACCCTCCACGGTTTACAGCAATACTATATCAAACTCAGCGAGGCGGAAAAGAACCGGAAACTCAACGAGTTATTGGATAATCTTGAGTTCAACCAAGTCATCATCTTCGTCAAGAGCACCCTCCGCGCGAACGAGTTGGACAAGCTTCTGCGTGAATGCAACTTCCCTAGCATTGCAGTGCACTCTGGAGTGTCTCAGGAAGAGCGGTAAGTGTTTACGGATCCGATATTTGTTTCTATTTTCTTTTCTTTCCCTTTTTTTTTGTTTTTTTTTTTTTTTGGGGGGGGGGGGGGGGGGGGAGGGAAAGGGAGGGGCCTCGAACTAACTTGAACCCTTCTTAGTATCAAACGTTATAAGGAATTTAAAGAATTCAACAAGCGCATCTGCGTCGCGACCGATGTATTCGGACGTGGTATCGACATCGAGCGTATCAACCTTGCCATCAATTACGATATGCCGGCTGATGCCGATTCATACCTTCATCGTGTGGGTCGTGCTGGCCGTTTTGGTACCAAAGGTCTGTCCATCTCCTTCGTCAGCAGTGAGGACGATATGAAGACCCTTAAGGATATTGAGAAGCGATTCGAAGTGGCTCTGCCGTAAGTAACTCCCGGTCCTTTAGCCGAGCGAATGACTGGAGAAGGTCTAACTCGTGTCTACTCAACAGTGAATATCCCGAAGAAGGAGTTGATGCCAGCACCTACATGGCGTAATCTCCTGGCTTTCGTCAGGGATCGAAGCACTATGGCCGCTTGCAATGGATCGATTTGATGATACTGTAATTCTCCTCACGGTTCTAATCTCGTTTCGAAAGATTTTGTCTCAATAGCTCAAAAGGGTCCTTCAGGTTCTTTTCTCTGTTTAGTTTTTTTTTCTTTCCTTTTGCTTTCTCCTTTTCTTTTTCTTTCTCTTTTTTTTTTTTTTTCCACAGTGCGCATTATCTGGTGTTTTAGTTTTACAACTCACTTTTGCCTCCAACGCCCTAGCGAGTTTGCAAATAGGGGATAGGGAATTACTCGGGGATAAAAGCCATTCAATAAATGTTGTTAACTTGCTTTGCGCAATGACTTGGGCGATGTATGGGGCCGTTCTCTCTCTCATCTGGGGGGCTGAATGTATTGTTAGGACAGGCGTGCAAATGGAAGTTTCACTGCTTTGCACTGGAAGATATGGTCTGGCGTATGGGCCATTGATGATCAACTGGCCCTAGAAACAACACCTTCTATCTCCCAGCACTCATACCTGATACTTTGCCTCGTATCTCACCCTCCACGCCTCAATATACCTCTCGTCTCCTGCCTACAAGGTCTGATGCCTTCTGGGAAAAACAAATCCCGGGTAACTTTGAGGCACCCAGGCTTCTCAGCTCAACACAAAAGGGAATCGCTGTGCTCCGTACACGCAAACAAAAGCTGCAAACTAGCGATGCAACTGAAATGCAATGGATATGGATATTAGATCTAAACTTTAGCACCCTGCCGGCTGTAGAACAACCACTCCACGGTGACTCTCTGTGCTGACAACGGCCAAGCAGAGCGCCGCCAAGCCCTCTCCACGCCTCCCTCCATAACTGCGGGCTGTCACATGTCCCCGAGTTTCTCCCAAACGCCATCCGACCCAACCCCAAGTCTCTTCCGCGATCGATCTCTTCTTCTTGGTTTGCCGCTGGCCCATCCATCTGACGTTCGCCCGGCCAGTCACCCGCCAGCAGTCCACTCCACTCTATTCCTTGCTCTCCACGAGCGTCCATAACCACCATCCTTCGCTCCATTTCTCCAATGGCCTCATATTCAGGTAACAGCAGAGATTTCCTGAATCGTACATATCCGATTTAAGCGCGATGCCCTATGTCTATAAAAACCATGTGAACCAGCGCCAAACCCGGGAGGTCGTTCGGAGGGCGGACGGAGATGTCCAGAAGTCCGCTGGTACACTACTCCCTCGCCCGGTTGCCTCACTGGTAACCCTCTTTGCCCACTCTACGTCTCTCTCGCTCCGTGTCGGAACTTTCCTCGGGGGATTCGCTATCGACAGCTTTAGAGCGACGACGCTCACCGGCCTGGAGCTGAGTAGAGCTGTGGTGGAGAGCATCTTGATCCGGGCCGGTCGGGATGTTTTGTCCAGAAGCAGTGACGATTATGGGAGAGCGGAAGCTGAATCCTTGTTGGAGCGGAGCGTCAGTTTTTCTTTCTATCTTTTCTCCCCTTGCTTCATCCATGGGTGATGAGCTCACTTTAAGAAATAGGCTGACTTGGTTGATTATAGTTGGCAACGTTGCATTCAACGATAACCTCCGCTTCCTTCTTCGCGTCCGCGAGTTTCCACCTCTCTGCTACCACACTGTCTTCGGTCTCCCATTTTTCCCAATCTCTCCTGTCCACACTCGATGCGATCCTTGGGTCCTCAGAGTCCTCTCGTGCTATTGCCGCGATCATCACGTTGATTCGACGAGAGTTTCGTAACCCAGAAACAGGTGTCCATGCAGGCAAAGTCGGCGTAGGTGATTTGCTCGTGGGTTGCATTGGCTTTGCTATGCTGCAGCGTTGGGGAAGGCGGAACACCGAGAGAGAGTTCAGGGAGAATGGAAACGAAGAGATAATCTGGGACGTCGTTATCCTCGACAATGGCCTCAGAGCAGATGTTGTGGGAACTCAGCGGACGGAGTATCCGCCCAACGTCGAATCGCTGGATACCCCGCCAACGAGGCCGGCTTCGTTCCTGGCACCTGAAGAAACAGATGCGGACATGACATTTCAAGCGATGGAACGGGAGTCGACTCCGTTAAACCCCCTCGGTCGACTTGTCCCACATGTGTCACTCCCCGCGGACCGCCAACATGCTCTATCCGATGAAGAGATTCGACATTACATCGTAAATCAGCTCCCACGCGGGTCGCATGCTACAATAAAGACCGATAGCGTAATCGCAAGGACCATTACTGTTGATGTATATGATAGTCAGCACAAATATATAGAGATCTCCCCACCTCCGGGAACAGCTCTTGTGAAAGAAAGTTTTCACGAAGATCACGACGCTGAGGGCGTCTCGGCGTATTCGGAAACGCAGCTACCCAAACATACTGTGGTGTTCCAGACGGTATCCAACCAATCTCAGACTGCCGAATTGAGGCCGGAGACTCAGCACCCAGTGGAGGAGGAGATTGCTGGTGGGCATTCCCCACGGCTATCATCCCACAGGAGATCGCCGAAGCGGCCAAAGGTTAGCAGTTGGGTGAGCGACCCAGTGCCTACGGTCGAATTCACGCCCGTTAATGCAAAAATTCGGCAAGCTAGGTCTCGGCGACCTTCATTCAAAAGGACTATTTCAGAATCTTCGTTCAGTGGCTCGGAAACGCCTCGAGCTTCATCACAAAAGAGGTCTGTGGCGAGGACAACCCACAAGCTTATCTCCAATGCGGAAGCAAAGCTTGGAAGTATGAGAAGTACGAAGAAGCGGCCGGCTTTTTCTTCTCCGAGCAGCCGTCAGCCGTCGGACTTTAACAAGGAAAATGCTGCTGCTGGTCCTAAAGGTCTACTTCGCAGCGGAAGATCTAAGCAACCCGCACAACCCGCGGCACAAAGGCCCAAGTTACTGCCTGCCTTGCCTCTTACGTCAGGAAAACACGATGCACTGAAATCAAGACGGTCGGACGAGCACGCTGTCGACTCCCTACCCGATACCGTTCCCACACGAGACTACTTTCCATCACACGAGAAGTGCGTCGAATCATACCTGGCCCGTACTGACGCGTATTCTCTACATGCATATCCGGGATCACCATCATTGCCTGCGGTTGCCAGAAATCATATCTCAAGCACCAGCAGTTTATCGAGAGTAAAATCTGACAGTGATATGCAGAAGTCGTCAAACGAAAACCTTCATTCTTACAGTCCCATAGCCTCCCGGAGAAATTCAAGCAAATCTCTTGCACCAACTATATATTCCTTGGCAGAAGCGGATTCAAAAGCGTCACTCGTCCTTGCCCCGCGATTTGTCAAGAGTGTATATGAAGACCAGGACACGCTCTCTGCCCTCTCTAGGGATGGGAAATTCTTCGGCCTTTTTCCGTACAATCACCTGGTGCGAAATATACAACGCTTTTCCAGGTTTTCGTCGGCGTCGTATGGATCGCATTTCCTCAGAGTTATGGGCATCTCCACTGGGCCACAGGATTGGCAAAATGGTGAGGTGGATCATCATGAGCATAGCTCGTTCTCCAACCATACAGGAATGCCTCCTTCAACGATCCTTCTCTCGTCCTTTGTGGATCCAGCTGGTGGCTCAAATGCTTCTGGGCAAACACAAGAAGGGTTCCCCTTGGTACATTATCTCACACTAGACCACGACTCAAAAGCCGTTGTCTTGACACTGAGAGGTACCTGGGGATTTGAAGATATTCTCACCGACATGACATGCGACTACGACGACCTACACTGGATGGGTAAAACCTGGCAGGTTCACAAGGGAATGCTTGCGTCCGCAAAGCGTCTCCTTGAGGGCGGTGGCGCCCGTGTGATGGCTACCATAAAAGCAGCTTTGGAGGAGTTTACTGATTATGGTGTTGTATTCTGTGGCCATTCGTTGGGTGGTGGTGTTGCCGCACTTCTCGCGATATTAATCTCGAGGCCGAATGACACGGATATGTGTGGTCCATCGTTCGTGACCGCCTCTACGCACTCTAGCGGCACAGAGGGTAACATCCAACGTCAACCAGGACAATTCAGATTGCCGGCAGGGCGACCAATCCACGTATATGCCTATGGTCCACCCGCGGTGATGAGTTCGTCTCTGCGACTCGCCACAAGACGCTTGATTACCACAACCGTCAATGGGCAAGACGTTGTCCCATCATTATCCCTGGGTGTTCTCCACGACTTCCACGCTGTCTCGCTATCATTCAAAAGCGACGTCGCGGACGCCAAGTCATACGTGAAATCCCGCGTCTGGGACAGCATCAGCCGCAGCATCGCCAACAAGTTCTACATCCACCAACCACCCCTCCTTATTCACGCTGGTAACGGTGTCGGCGAGGACTCTTGGGCTTGGAACACACTCAAGTCACTCCGCAGCCAGCTGACGGCTGCGAAGCTGATGCCTCCAGGCGAGGTCTTTGTGGTAGATACCATGCGCGTTCTGCAGCGCGACGCTTTTACATTGGATACGTCCAGCGGCGATGGATATCCGCGGCTGGGCAGGCCAGCTACCAGGGTGCAATTGAGATTTATTCGAGACGTGGAAGCACGGTTTGGGGAGATCAGGTTTGGATCAGGGATGCTGGGCGATCATAGTCCTGGACGGTATGAGGCGAGCTTGGCGGCTCTGGCGAGGGGAGTTTTAGATAATTGAATTTTCTGTTTTTCTCTTCCGGGAATGGATACCCTCCGGAGTTGGTTGATTTCCCATTTTGTTTTAGACTTTACTGACGAGTTTATGAGGGGACTTATATACACCATTCCTTTGATACAATTGCACTTATAGAGCTGTCATGACGCGGTGGACAACTGAACTATATATGTGTTAAAATTCTCATCAGAGACCTCCAACAGCATTATCAATTGGCGTGAAACTCTAGGGAAAAAAAAGATTAGAGCTTCTCCAGCACAAGCAAATGACAAAATTCAAATTAATCTATTATACTATTCAAGATACAAGAAATCTACAGGGCGACGAGGGTGGAAAACAGTGCACTCCTATTGGGTATAGCAATCATTAGAATTTCTCGGCAAGATGTCTTCTCTCGCCGTAGTTTCACAGGACACAGATGACCCGGACCCCTTAAGTAAGCCGAGGCAACCCCCGTCTTGTCCAGAGACCAGACATAGGAAGGAATGCCCATGATACCCTACAAGATTGCTTGGTTATGCCATATGAGGGCCATCCATAGATTTGTGTTGAGAAATTTATTCAGCACGCCACTCCTTTCTCAGTGTTTCTGTGCAAGACCTATGGGGGGATACTTCAGCTCCGATTGTCGCAGGATGCATCAAACGCGGCGAGATCTCCAAGGTATGAAAAAGAAACCCATTCCATGATATCACCTAGAAGCATCTAACTAGTTTTTTTATTCTACAGACTCAAAGCATGATCTGGAGGCTCTCCATCGATACACCTCATGTCGATGGCTCTGGAATGAGCACCAGCAACTTGCATGCCGCTATGTGAAATTTGATATGTCAAGGCTTTTGGAACTTGCTGCTTCTCTCATCGGATCGAAATACTGTGTTGAAGCTGTTAAGGTTTCAGAGGGCCAGTATAACAAAGTTTTCCTGCTTACCATGAACGATGGACGTGAGGTGATTGCCAAACTGCCGAATCCCAATGCGGGCAGACCATGCTTCACTACGGCCAGTGAGGTTGCGACCATGGACTTTGTAGAAGCTCCCTTTTCTTCTCCTTTAACTTCTTTCCTCAACAGGTAATATTGACTAACTTTACTAGTTGAGAAACATCCTCCATCTTCCAGTTCCGAAGGTCTACGGATGGAGCTCTAAAGCGTCAGAGAACCCTGTTGGAGCAGAGTATATCATCATGGAAAAACAAGCTGGTGTGATGCTGAGCGATGTGTGGGAAAGCATGAAAGGAAAGTAGAAAGCCCATATTGTGCTACAAGTTGTTGATTTTGAGAAAACCCTTGCTGCAACACAATTCACAAAGCTTGGAGCTTTGTACTACAAGGATGACCTCCCTGCTATGCTCGATACCTCATCACCGTTATATGTCGACAGGGATGGGAAGGAGGTACACAGTGCGAAGTTTGGCATTGGACCCACCAACCATCGTTCATTTTTCGATTTTGGGAGGGGGGAACTGAACATCGATCATGGACCATGTAAGAGTCCCCTTAACCCTTTTAGCAAATTTATTCGTATGCTTAATAGTGTGGAGCACTTCCCAGGGTCTACACCTGCGGAGTTCATGATTGCCATTGCGCATCGAGAAATTCTCTGCGCAAGGGCGCGACTCAGATACCCATTGATGCCGGAAGGCCTTTTCTATGGACCCAGACAATACCAGCCCAGCTCTTCGAAGAAACTGTCCGCATTGCACAACTATCTCAAAGTGGCACCCTATGTTCTGCCCGATAACAGAGCAACCTTAACATCGGTTTTGTGGCACGGTGATTTGCACTTGCAAAATATTTTTGTCGATCCTGGAGAGCCAACCCGTATACTGGGCATAGTCGACTGGCAATGTGTCAGCATTTGTCCACTTTTCACGCAAGTCACATGCCCTGGTTTCCTGGATTACAATGGCCCGGCTCCTGAAGGACTTCAGCAAATCCATCTCCCTGGGAACTTTGACTCCATGACAGACAAACAACAGAAAGCAAAAGCATTGCATCAAGCACAGACACTACACAATCTTTATTTGGCTAGATCCCATCAGGTCAATGTCGAAGCGTTCCAGGCCATGCAGGGCCAAGACACGCTCCGTCACCAAGTTAGTGTTATTCCGGGTTTGACGCTAATGGACTACGAACCATGCCTTAGTAGCTTACTGAGGGATGTGGAAAAAGGGTGGCCAGAGATTGTTGGAGTCAGGACAGATGGCTTGCCATTGGTTCCATGCCCCTTGCAGTTCTCGGCCGCTGAGATTCAGGAACAGGAACGGGACGAAGAGCTGTGGGCCCAGGGCGTGGGGCTCATGAACGACTTTATTAGTGACACAGGATGTTTCAAACACTGGGATGGCAAGGTCAGCAATGCGGATTATGAATCATCGAAGAGGCAGCTGGCGGAGGGGATACAACGATTCTTGAGCCGTGAGGCGAGGAATGAGGAGGAGCGCAAGGCGTGGCTCAAAGCCCTCCCATTTTTGGATCAAGAAGAGACTGGGTGAATGGGCTATTTGTGTATCTTCTTAAAGACTTTCTTTCTGGGTTGGATTGGGTTTGGTTGCATAAATAACACGTGCCCAGATGCCTTGGCACATGATAAACTTCCCAGCCAACTTCATTTTCCAACTCCTCGCCTTTTCGTGCCCGGCGATTATATATGAATGTAAGATTCCACCATCCACCTCATGAAGATTCAGTTAAACCGATTAAGTCTTAAAACAGGCAGGATTTTCATGGCTGATTCCGCACTGGTCCATCACCTTTACGAAAAGGGAACTCAGACCAGACGAACGATGTCTCCATCTCGTCGGCAACAAAGCTTCAACCACAGGTACAGCATCAAAAGCCTGGTCACCATCTTCTCAACTCACCGTCCCAATGCTTCAGCAACAGTACCCCAGGCTCTTGAGCCGGCAGATGAGTGTGTATTTCACACTTTGCGCAAGCATGTCGCTCTTTTTCTCTTTCCTCTGGCTGAGAAGACGTGAAACTGGAGCGTCAACCGCGACTCACTACCAATCCAAGTCGAAGTCAGAAGAGACCCCCTTCGACAATGACGAAACATTTCGCATTGATATCGCACGCTACAGTGAAAAGAAAATGGAGCCGTGGCCAGGAGCCTCGAAATCGTTCGCTACATGCTGTTGCAAGCAGGGCTCATTCACAGTGGCATATATCAGTTTCCTTTGAAGGCTCACTATACTCGGACGGGGTGAACCGTGCTAGGGTGGAAAAACGCCGACAGGACCTTGAGGATCTTTGTCGATGCCTTGATTTTGGCCGTCTGCGGCTCTTGGACGACACAGTGACACAGGTGTTTATTCGTCGCGAGAATGATGCTACTCTCCCTTCTCATGAGTATAATATCGCCGTCACTGACCGCCGCCCTCTTCCATTGAAAAGATCACTACGTTCTGACAGCGAATATACCCCTGTTTTCACTCGGTTGTGGTTCTGTATCCGAGAAGATCCCTTTCACGTGCGCTTCCCGCTATACCGTAGCGCTATTGATATACCTACCATAGATCTGTTAGAGATCCGCAGGACCTGCGAGCTGAGTCCTGGGGTGCACAAGGTCCACCTCGAGGGCGACAAACTGGAGTTATTGTACGTGTATAAGGAAGTTGACAGCCGACTATACATACCAAGAGACAGTCAAGTTTTGGAGCAGGAGCTGCAGAACTTGCAATTGTTTCGTGGTGAAGAAGGAATTGTGCAGATCATCGCTGCTGTGATCTCCAAAAACCCATACCAGACAACACCTGGAACAGATTCCAGCAACCAAACTGTTCTACGGGGCATCCTTCTTGAGTACCATCCCAAGGGAACATTGTTCGATGCACTGCAAGGCACATCACCCAAGCCATGGGTAAAATGGGCACTACAGATTGCCCATGGACTTGCTTGCCTTCATCAGAGTGCAGTAACACATATGGATCTAAAACCGTCAAATGTTGTCATTAGCGCAGACGGCAATGCTGTGTTGATCGATATCAGTGGAATTGGAGGCACAACGCGAGAATGGCTGGCGCCTGAGATGCATGATGTAACAGACCCACTCTCTGAGAGTCTGAAAGCACGGATACAGAATGATATTTGGGCATTTGGGCAAATGTTATCGGCAATGGCCAAAAATTCATGCAACAGTGAGGAAGAGAAGCTACTCCGGCGTGTTGCAGTAGGTGCCATGGCGAATCCTTCCTCGCGCAGTTCTCTTCACGATATACTTTCCCAACTCAGCTCTAAATAGCCTTATTTAGAACTCAGTCCAATCAATATCATCAGGATCAAAGCCGCGATCGGTACGATCATCTGTTTTAAATTAGCACATGTGTGAAGGGTGAGACTCACTTGGGCCCTCGCGCCGGATCCCTGGTTTCCTATCACACCCAGGAAGATAACAAAGGCCCCCTGTAGTCTTTGAATCTTCTGAACCACCGTCACATACCTCTGTCGATTTCTTCGCGTCTTCGCAGGGCGTCAAGAGGGTCTTCACATAATGCCCGCACGAGTGGACTCGGGTTAGGAACGTGCACATGTTGTGTATTGGGGGAATTGATCTACAATATAACAGTACTCATTAGCATTCACTGTAGCTTCTACGCGAGAATGTTCCTGTTCTGAGAGAAAATTACTATTGATTGTAGTGATTTTTGATATCCAGTGTTTCAATCAACTACAGTGAACGAACCCCACCATTTAGCATGCCTTGGACTTAAGAGCCGCACCAAGACAGCTTTGATCCCGCATCAGCCTAGGCTCTGTCCTATCAGCAGGCCAGTTGATTGGAGACAGGAAAACAGGTGTGGAGTCCGCCCCAAGCTGGATAATGACACCAACCATTGATCCTCCAGCTACTTCTTGATCCTAATCATTGTTGCATTTGACCTCTTAAGACGTCTCCTTGATTGGTTATCAAAAGAATCAAATTTCAACCTGATATTCTAACATGACGTGGTTCAAATACAACTTGGGTCCCCGTCCAGCGAGGGTTCAGAGAGGAAGAAACGGGAGAAATGGTCACGACAGATATTAGGAAAGAATCTGAGGTGAGCTCATGGGCATCAGCTCCACCTCTAGTGTATTGTAATGCTCCTGCCACCCCCATTTTGCCCTTTTCAAAGCCTCCTTCTTCGTGTTGTCAGTGTCCACCCTTCCTCTTTCATCAGCCAAAGTAATAGGTTGCCCAACCAGATATGTATATTGTAGTCTGTAGCAGGGGACAACATCAAACAGAGCTGCCATGAAACCATAAATCATTTCGATAACCACCTTCAGAAATTCCACCGTCATATCTGCCACAGCAGCCAAGTACCACCGTAAATCCCTCCACAGACGGCTTGGAAGGTCGTAGGGTTTTGGCAGGAGATGCTGTCGTGTCATCCGCTTTTGAAGCAGGATACTCATGTACAACTCCATGACCTCCGAGAGCGAGCGCAGCAGCTTCAGACCCGGAGCGTCATCAGCACGGAGACATATCTCCTTTCCAATTTTCTCCACCTGCAAATGAAGGGCGTCGTAGAGTAGCGCAGGCCGCCGTGAAGCCTTATCAGACTCCCATTGGCCTATGAATCCCATGCCGAGATCCAGGGGAGACGCCTGAAGGAGTCTCTGCAGGGCAGAGTAGTCCCGGGGGTTGGCTGTTGCAACACATTCACAGAACGTGGTGATTAGTGCTGGAATCTCAGCACCCTCTGGGATCCCCCTCTTTTTGGAATTCGTCCCACGAGCCACAAGAACCGAGGAGGTAGATAAGAATCGCTCCCAGCGCCTTAAGGTCCGCCTGCTGTGCCGGCCAGATGGCTGACGGCTCATCGATTCTTCTGGCACACTGAAAGTCAGTGATGAAAAGTTGATGGCTCTGCCAGCTTTCCCTCCCCACCATAGCTAGCGCTTCCGGGGTGAGATTTCCGTGCGAGATTGACCGGGAATGGATCCACTCTAGTCGCGAGAGCAACTGCTCCCCCAGGGACAGGATCAAATCCAGCCCAAGCCGGCGACCAGCCTGCTTGTAGATTGCCCCAAGCGTAGGCCTGTAGACGTCGGTGACAATAACAGTATGTGCAGGCACCGTCTCCGACCAAAGCAGCTAGGGGACTCCCGGCACGCCTGCAAGGTCGCAAAGGATTCGTGCTTCGGCTGAAAGGCTTGTTACACATGCTGGTGTGCTCCCAATTTTCAAAAAAGCCGCTCTCTCTGTAGTCATGCTCCGGCCTGGCTCTATTAACTTCTGAACCACCGAGGGGAGATGGTCACTTACCTAGATAAACTTCTGCTAAGCCAGTCATTGGCATGCGCACTTCGTAGTCACCATAAATATTGCTGAAAGCCATTGAATAAGAGCTTTGGAAGGTGGAGAGGGACTAGCAGAGAGAGCAAATGTAAGAAGAGCACAATCCACTAGACAAATCAAGATTACGGATTTCAACAGGATGTGATCAGTGGTGGTTGCGGCAAGGTGAAAAGTTGCCTCAGGGGAATATTCAGTTTATGGCTTCAAGAGAACTAATGCGGCCTGCCGAATGTTGAAATGGGTTCAAGTGGAGTTGCCTTGGGGAATTCGAAATATATGGCTGCGTGTGAAGAAAGGTGGCTCTCCGTAGGGCGGCAAGAGCTGGACCAAGAGTGATCACATGAGGTCACGTGCGCGCTAATCCCAAACGGGGTTAGGGTGCGCGAACAAGGTGCTACGCGCCCTCGGTCGATGATCCATCCTCCAACATGAGCAGCAACGCCGATAATCCTCCTGCACTTATTATAACTTGGTACACCTGATACTGAGTCTCTCGAAACCCCAGTGCGATAGCCAAGCTGACAACATGACTGCACCGGAGGAGTGGGAAGAGTGGGGATCCGAACGCATGTTTCGCGCAATACATGACAAAGTTGTTCTCTTGAGCCATCAAGGCGGTGTCAAGGTCCTAAACTGCGACAATGAGGTCATCCTCAAGGTTGGAAGCAGAGTTCGTCCTTCTGAGGAAATCGCTATGCGCCTTGTCAAAGAGCAAACTGATATCCCTGTTCCGGAGATCTTCCTTGCCGCCTACATTGGCAAAGAAGGCCGACTGGCGATGAGTGTCATTCCCGGCAATCCACTGACAGAAGCTTGGGATAGTCTGGATGATACAACAAAGAAACATGTATGCATGGAAACTTGGTCAATGATTGAAAAACTTCGTCAGATTGAAAAGCCCGCGGCATTGCAACACCACTTCCTCTGTCTTGCTGATGGTTCACCCTGTATCAACGACCCCATTGTGGCGGGAAATTGCTGTGCAGAACCTCCACATCCTCCACTCCTTAATGATGATGCTGTTCGCGCCCGCATCTACAAATGTTACTACACAGCAAATGGCCGAAAGTATGAAAAAGAGTTGCCAAGCATGCTTCCTCGCTCTGATATCTCTGTTTTCTCACATGTAGACATTGGACCGCACAACATCATGTTCGACCAGGAGTCACTCCAGATAACTGGGATCATTGACTGGGAGATGGCAGGGTGGTACCCGGATTATTGGGAGTATTCCAGCGTCATGAGGCCTGCTAGGTGGAAAGATTGGCAGAAGTGGATGGATCTGACAGCCCCAAAGAAATATGACCTGAGTGGTATTATGGCAGCAAGGCGTGTTTTGTTTTAGCGTACTCTATTAGGTTGGGATTGAAAGCCTTACTTCGACCTTTTAGTCCACAACGACATTACGCGTTCTTCTTTGGAGGTCTTTGGTCGGTATCAGCTGCTTGAGATATTGCCCAACTTGCTCTTCCCGTCTATTTTGCTTGAAACACACTGTTGCTGTCGCTCTGATTTCAATGTTGTCGACCAAGAGTACTATAACTGTCCAACGCCGTCACCCAATCTAGCTATATGGTCCGGCCTTGCCTAGAAATTCCATATTCCCCGTTTAGCCCTCCATGCACTTCATGTGGTAGGCATGGGATAGCCACTAATTCCCCCGTGTTTCGAAAGCCCAAGAGTAATGAGAGCGGCAGTGGTTAACTGGCTCAGGAAGCCAGGCAGATTTTCAACACCCCTTTTGCCCTGCAGTAGTGTGACCAAGCAGGATTCAATTGATACGCATCCCATTCACCGATGGTGCGAATTAACGCTCGCCATGTTTGGGGTTTTAGGCTACCCTGGCGCTACTGCAGTCTGGATGCATTACTATTTTGGGCAGCCAAAGTCGATAGGTCACCAGTGCTTGAGAAAATGCTACTATGGGACGCCACGACCGTGATATTGGCGGCTAGCACCCTAGCACCCAGGTCAAGAGCAGCTTCCTCGAGCATGGGGGCGGTTCGAGGATAAATACTGCCATGCTGTCGCCGATTCTTGACTTTGTTTAGACACCTAGAAATCATCCAGCACAGCTGTTTACTCTATATATATTATATACCTATCTACCTACCTTGCGAATAATATTAAATTGAAACGCTACTCAAGTATTTACCGGCCCACCACGAGCTCCTCTCAAGTCGAACCTCCACCATGGACGGATACAGCATCAAGAGAGTCGGATTAAGGGAGATGGCGATAAAAAGGGGAGACGGCCGTACTCACGCGCAAAATCGGAGAAAAAGAGTGGTCGCCATACACGTCGTCCGGCGAGGCTGATAGCGGTACCAGCTTCCAGCTCGGAGTCTTTCGTCAGGAACAGCCAGACGCACAAGGCCATCATTGGTCCCTCTTTGTTGCAGAAGAAGGCAAACCGGGAACAGTGTACCAAGTTACTGGCGATCATACTTTCATGGTCTATAGGCACCAGCCAGACATCAACATTCTCAACTCCCGTACTTTCCGCGATATTCACCAAATTGCAGAGCTTGATGAGCAGAAAGTCCAACGCGTTGTATATTGGGTCAACCAAGAACCCCCACCGCGCGCCCCAACTCAGGCTCAAGCCCGGGAAACCTGCCAGTCATGGACTATATGAGTAGTCCGTAGGTTGATTGCCGAAGGGATTGTCGCACCAAAGTGGGACCAGGAATTGGAGAACTTGATCGACTCTCCAATCTTGCTTAGCTTGCGTGGTCGTTGAAGAGCCAAGGCAAAGAAGGGGAGTGCGTCGTGTGGGCAGGAGAGTGTGACGGAAGGGCTTGTTTTCTGTGTTTTCCTTTTTGCAGCTTTTTTGCGGTCTCTTTCTGCACCTGGCTCCGCTGGCTGAATTCATCGAACTCCCGCTGCTGAGAAGGGGGTTTTATGGCAGCTCCAAACATGTACTTTGAATTCCTGTTACAACCACCAGCTAGTATATTAATGGAGTCTCTTGCTTTTGTTCGTTCCACCGTAACATGCTGTGACAATAGGCAGGTTGCTCTGTCGTCGATTGATGTTGGCGCGTAGAGATAGCGCGCAGCTGGATGCGTTGTCCCTCCGATAGCCGAGAGTGGTTGTCGACCGTCTGATAGGCTAAGGTTGATCCAATGAAATACGCGTAATTTACAATGACACCCAGACATTCACCAAGGGGAGCCAAGGCCCAAATCCATTTTCTTTTTGCTCGAAAAACTTATGCTCTGGCAGCTGAGAAATGTATTAGCTGGCAGTTTTGAAGCCAGAATACTAGATCTATCTCTATAGAGATTTAGATATATTAATGATTTTGATTCTATACTGAACTTAAGTACTGGTGTGCATGCAAGTATTATATTATGTCTGTTCTTAGCTTATTTGACTAGATATTTTTCTATTCCTGTCTTTCTAGCTATCTTTATTGATTGAAAGCATAAGAGTGCAGCACTCAAAAGTGGTTGAATAGAATACAAAGAGATTTAAGAAGTAAATCTATAAATATTATTAATCTTGAATGAGGTTTAGCTAAATTACTGATATTCTCAGTTTTGGGTTCTTGATACAGTTTAACTAACCACAGCTATTAGCCTGTTAGCTTCTGTTCTATTTCAGTTTAGCTTGTATTCTGCTATAGACTAATGTTTTTCCTCTATATTACTCTTCAATTGAATAATGCCACCTACTGTTCTGAAAATCACCAAATTAGTAGACACTAAATCAAAATAGGTTACTGGCATTAAATATTCTTAACTGATGAGATTTGCCAACTATGTGTGATATTTGGCTGAGCTGGAGAACATTACTGAGCAGAGTATTTTCAATATAGTTAATCTGAGACAAGAGTATTAGAGGTTCAACTAGATGCTGACTTATTGAAGTGAGGTACAATAGAATGCCTTGTCAAAATAGGTGATATAGTTGAGAAGGTGATAGTGCAAGAGAAGTAAAAAAATCACAATATAGTAGAAATAGTACTGGACTGAGAAGTGAGAGCAAAGGTAGATATGCTCTAATAGATGCCTAAGCTTATAAGAAGTAATAATATTAAGAAGCCCTGCAGTAACACAGGCAGCTCTAAAGAGAAATAGTAGTATACCTTATAAACAAGAGATATTTATATTCTCTAACTGATAACCAAACTAGTAATAAGAAATAAGTGTGTAGTAAAGTGCAAAGATGCACAAAGATAATAAGTAAGATGTAGAGATTATAGAGAGTTTATATAGCTCAAAAATAGTAACTTGAGAGAGTTGCTGCAGAACAACTGAAATGAGTTTTCAATGCTCCAACAAAAAATTGTTAGGTAAGTAATCCAACTAGCACCTCGCTCACATGACCCACATAGATTAGACAAGATTCCCCTTTAGGTAGCTTAGTGCTCCATCAGGTTATGAGCCCTTTGCGCTGAAGAACAAGCGTATAAGATTGATTTACAGCTCAATTAGTTATTGAAGCTTACAATCAACACTGTTAATAGTTATTCTTGTGGATAACAAGTCCTACAAGCACAAGAGAGTGTGTACATTGAGGAAGGCATCTTCTATATATGTAACCCTGTAGCTTTCTAGCACTGAGCTGGAGAGTGAGTTTCTGGCACACAGTCAGAGAGTGAGTGAAAATGTCTGCTACACACATCTAGCAAGTGAATCAAGCATCTGGCAACACCAAAACCATGATGAACTGTACAGATGAACTAGAGCACCAAACTTCTGACCAGAAGACCTCAATAAATCTCTCTATACCTCAAACTAAGCTTAGGTGATTGAACAGACTCAGAGGAAGCCCACTAAATGAGCAGCCGAGATATCTTGATGTTCTTGTTTTTCTCACTTTCCTCTTTTCCTTTTGTTCTTCAGCTTTGTATCCTAGTTGAATGGACTCTATTTGCTTTCTCAGCGAGCAGATTTGCCGTCGTAACAGTAAGACACCTCCCACACCCCTACTTCCTAAATACGCCCAGAAGAGCAATCCCTCTCAGGTACTTGAAACCTGGAAACTGGAACTTTCAAAGAGATTGTAATGCCAATGCACGATGAATGAGCAACAACACATCTTCACTAACGCATCTCTGGTATGTTTCTGACTGAATGAGGACTGATCTCTCGCTAATTCTAAAAAAAAGCACGCAGTCCAAACATTGGATTCCAGATCCTCCACACATGGCATGGGCAGATGTTATCGCTGTGATTGACCCGAGGGCTCTCTCATTTTCGATGAATTCACAAATTTATAACTTCAAGCAGGGGCGAAAGGCATACAAGGCCCCTGCTAGCCAATGTGAGTTCGACCTCATGATGGCAGCAGGGAACTGTGCTGTTAAGGTCCATGGTAGATCTCTCTGGAGGGATAAGGAGGGAGAGATAAGGATGAGCGGCATTATCATGGATCTTGAGACTCCTTTTGACCCAAAATCTGTGGAAGTCTCTCAATGCAAGGGTTTGATGGGCCAGATTATCTCAGTCTTACATGAATTGCACCGCAAGGGAATTATTCATGGTGATATTAAACTGGCTAACTTTCTTCTTTGCACGGATGGTCAGCTCCGCCTGTGTGATTTCAGCAATGTGATGAGGGTAGGTGAAGAGCCAAGCAGCTGGGGCGGATTAACAACAATGAATTACATATCTCCATGTTGAACGCGGAACTGGCCTGATGGGGCAGATCCTCCTCCAACCATTGAGGATGATCTCTACAGCCTTGGCCTGAGCCTGTGGGAGCTCTACACAAGGAGCACACCCTTTGAGGGCTGGTACGAGGACAACATCATGTCAACTCTTCAGAGAGGGAAGACGGTTGATGTGGATGAAGTAGAAGACGAGGATGTGAAGTCTGTGATTCGCCATTATCTGAGGTACGGCGGTGCAAAGATATAGTTTCGCCGGAGACAAGGAATTCTGTAATATAGGCGGTCGTACGTCGATAGCTGCGGAGATCCCAGACAGTAAAGATCTAGCTATCCTTCTGTTTGAGGCTGTATGAATTCTGCTGCTCTTCTCTGTTGGCTGGTGGTGAAAAATCTTCAGCGCAGTGGTGACCCAGCTAGCTCAACCAGCAAGCTACCAATTTTAATCCACTCTTTTGGGCAGATCTTAGCTTCTTCTGCAAATCCTCTCTTTGCAAGACTCCTAGTCCCCGGGAACCTACCAATTGGGCAGTCTCCCGGGAAAAATAATTCTGATACCGGAAATAACGATCATAGCAGACAGGAGTTATGACGGCGGAAAGCCAGAACAGACATAGCGGGCGGTGAGGGCCCGAGTCCCTGACAACAAGGCATAGGTGGAACAATCGTTTTTCCATTCCAGCCCAAGATCAACTAAAGGTCGAATATTGTAGCTTCTAGCATTCAATAAGTGGGCAAAATGGCCTGATGCTAAAACAGAACACACTAGCGCCTTTGCGAAGATGCAATCGAAATAGCTTTACACAAAGTGTTGAAAAGACATGTATTCTGAGTTCTATTTAGTTCGGGCATCCAGTGGGATTATTGCTAACTGAATCGCCAGAGACAATGGAACTGACCTTCTGCTTTTTGGGATCTCTGCCCGGGGTTTGAAACTCTTCCTCCCTGCCTTCACTAGGAGCTGTGAAACTCCACTGCGCATCCTGATACTCAGTTTTCTTGGACACAGTCAATGTGCCAGAGTCCTGTGAAACAACAGCAACAATCAAAGCTGTTTGGTGTTCAAATTGAGCAGCAGAGAGGTGTTCATTTGCCATTGTAATAAAGTTGTTCCTCATTTCCTTCACCCAATCTCAAGCATTTTGGTACGCAGATGCTCCCTGTTGAAAGGTCTCAGGGTTCCCAGTCATGCCCCAAGTATTGATCTGAGTCATAATATATTCAGGAGGACGGCCGGGATCGCTAGGCTCTGAAAGATGAGTAGTATATAGCTTGAGCGTGCCACCGTGATAGGTTGACGTAATAGCATAAGCATTGTTGTCATAGGTCGATTCATTGATTCATCCTGTCGGTATGACTGAAGCGAATGCATGCCTCGGGCTCCTAGTGCGCCATCAGAGCAAGCTTGCCGTGTAGCCACCGCAAGGGATCCGTCAGGGCCTTTTGCTTCCAGAAAGAAGTTTGGTGCCATGCGAAGGTCATTCTGGGTTGATGGAATAATCTGATCACTAAGTTCTTTGCGGATTTGACGATCAAGTTGTTCAGGACGCGCACCATCAAAGTGATCCGGTTTGGCTTGAGCCAGCGTGCCATCAGTTAACGGGGCAAGATTGCCGAACACATACCCTCCTCCGGTACATTTAGGATCGCCGATATCGCCTTCGATAATTGGAATCACTGTGGTTGTCACTGGCTTCTCCTTAGATGCGTGTGTATCCGCTCTTTTGAATTTCCGGAACTCCCCATCAGAGAACTTTGATGGCGAAAGGGAGGGACGGGTTCGAACCAATCTTTTATTGATCTCCTTCCAGTTATCAGGTATTGCTGGTGACCGGTCAAAGTTGACAAGCCTGGTGAAATCTTCCTTGCCTCTCTTGTCACCGTTTGATCCGCTATCCCACCCCGCAGCTCGCGCGTACATTCATCGCTTGTGGCTAAATTTTGCCGATGCGCGTATATTAGCACAATAACGGCAATCACTCGTCGTACCCCCAGGTCAACGTTCCACGCCGCGGCTTTCACCACCGCCAGCGCCAGCTCTGTCTTTCCTCCTTTCTCTCTCTTCAATCTCCCGAATCTGCTCCTCCAACGTCTCCTTCTTCCGCATCAACCCCTCTCGAACAACCAACAGCGCGTCAATCTTCTCCTGCGGCGTCAAATTCTGCCGTTTCCGCGCTTCCTGTTTTCAAATTGGGAAACTTTGGTTAGAAACACACCTTGTAGCAAAAGGATAGATAAGTAAGATGAGGAAAAAGCCAAGTAGGAGCCTAAATAAAAAAAGGAAAAAAAGGTAGATCGATAGTTACCTGCTTAGATTCCTGCTTCATTTTCAAGCTTGCTCCGTAGAGCGCTCCGGATGCTATCGCTACCGACAAGGTGCCGGTGATAAGCACTCGTCGGAGTTTGGAAACGGAGGCCATGGCTTCGATGATTGCCGGGAGCGACTCAATTGACAATGCAATTGCTAGAAAAACATGAATTTCCAAGCTTCCAGCGTGCGTGAACTGCCACGTACTATTTTCGTTGCGGTTCGCAGAAACTTTTGAGAGTGCTTCGGGTTTTGTACTGTGGTTGTTTGACCGATGTTTGTGATGTTTGCATCGGGATTTTCATGGATGTTGAGCTGCTCAAAGATACATGACATGGGAGCTATGTAGTGCTGCGGTGAACTTCAGCTACGATGTATTAAAAAGGATTTTAGATCATATTGGGGAACTCTTAATAATTTACACATATCAGCTATCATAGGGGCTTCGAGAACCTCTAGGCCCTCACTATATACTCATAAGTAATACTGCTGATGGGGCATGCTTATTTATTTCCCCAGAACTCCGTGTCTATGGATTTATCGATCGCACGCAGATAGAGAAAAGTATGCGGAGAGGAGGACGACTGACAGAGAGGCCAAACTCAGGAGCGATTTCAGTTCTAGCAACAATTGTCTCCAAGCCATAGCTCATAGTTTCCGTGATACTTTGAATGGAAATATTAGCATATCATTACCATGACATCGGGGCAAGAGAGCCAGTATCGAGCATGCATATTGTATACGACTCACAGGGCAGGCAGTTTATCGACTTTTCCAACTCAGATCAATTACTCCGGCCCGACAATGTTGCTTCAACGCTTCAGCACTCGGGGAATAATGTCGATCCCCTTTCAGCCATGCCATGCGCCCGACCCGGGCCCAACACCGGGCCATCCACACCGTTCCGCAGAGCATAGGCATGATACCGTCTCGGTTGATATTTCCAAGTCCGACGTCGGTCCGAACTAGGGTCCTGGCGGGGGGGATAACGACAGTCGGCCGCTGTCACCTCGAGAGCGGGTTACACGACAAGAAAATACCCGACTCCGCGAAAAGCCCTTATGACCGGATAACAGCTTTTGCCGGGCCTGTACGCTGTTCCTCCGAGCCGGGTATCATTCAGTACCAGAACCCGCGACCCCCAAAAAAAAAAAAAAAAAAAAAAAAAAAAAAAAAAAAAAGAAAGACCTCCCAAGAGAAAACCCCTTCCGCGTCCAAATCCCATCACAAGCGAATCATTCCTTCGCATTCCCACCCGTCTTGTCAATCCCTTCTTCCCCCAACACCTTCGCTGCTCCCATAAACAGCCCGCCCACGTATCCGCCCAGGAACCTCATATCTCCAGCCTGCGCACTCGTCATCCTCACCAGGTTGTCCGTATCGGCCAGGTGGGCATTGAGCTGGACGAGCTGCGCGTGGAGGTGCGCATATTGCCGGGCCTTAGACGCAGACATGCTCGAGGCGGAGATGATGGAGGCAGAGGTCGATGTCGATGCGGGCGTTGTGGATGGGGCGGCTGCTTGGGCCCTGGAGTGGGTGAAAGCGGCGGAGGAGGGGCGGGAAGGGGGGTGGAGTGGCATGGCGGACAAGAAATAAGATACTAGACTGAGGGCACGGGGAGAGAGACTCGGTATGTACGGCGTAATTAAGCGGTCAATCGAGCAGTGCAGGATAGCTGCGATCCGGACAGTTCGACGAGGAGTTTGGTTGTCCTTCTTTTTTTTCTTTTTTTTCTTTTTTTTTTTTTTTTGGTACGGAGTACGGAGTATGAATAGGTTCTCCCAAGGCTGTTTGTTTGTTTACCCCGGCGGCGATGCCAAGAGCATCTTTGTCGTGTTTGCATTCACCACACAACGCCGGCCAAACGCCGATTTTGGTTGACGAGCACGAGCACCCCGTACAGAGCAGCTAACAACCGACAGCAGCAGAGAACATGAATATTGGGCTGGAATCTGCACTCCGCCTTTCCACCACAGGAGACTAGCAAGTAGCCAACGTGATGTGTGCTGCTTCCCTGATATGCCCGGGCCACAGAGGACCTGCTCGTACCACACCATCCCTCCATATTCACTCGTCCCCAAGAACAAGAGTCGCCCCCTATTTGAGGTCATCTGCAAGCGCAAATCCCTAAGACATCGTTGCGTGACCCACCATCTGAGATAGCGCCTCCATTCTAGGGAGAACAAAAAAAAAAAAAAAAAGGAAAAGGAAATAAAGGTCTTACGACGTCTTGCAGCCCCAAATTCCGGATCTCCGAGCCCTTTGCATACTATTACCTTGGCGGTCAAGGGGACAGTCAACCCGGCCGGCGGTGGCGATGTAGATCCCCTCGATCCGTCCCCAAAAAAAAAAAATAAAAATAAAAATAAAAAAATAAAAAAATAAATCATCCTATCCGTGAGGCATGGAGCTGCTTGTTTCTTGTTTGGGTTCACAGCGGAGGATCTCAAGGAGGCGCCCCGATCTCAGAGTCTCCATTATCTAATTCGAGGGTGCGCACCACGTTCCACAGCGCACCATTCCGTCAAGACCCGTGCCGTTGGAATCCAAATCTTCTTGCATACATATGTATATGCACGGGAGGACGTATGGATGCCTCCTATGAATCTTGACACGAGAGAAGCAAGTCTCCGAGACATTGCCATGCACGAAGCAAGTAGAATCCATCAATTAATAAGAATTCTGTAGTTAATTAAGAAGACATGTTTCTCGAAGTGTAAAAAAAAAAAAAAAAAAAAAAGAAAAAAAGAAAAAAAGAAGAAAAAAGAGGAAAAGAAACAGCTGTGATTGACACCAACAGTACGGAGTAATGAAGTAACGAAAACAAAGGAGAGATTGGGAGGCCATGAATGAAAACAAAAGGAAAATGTCCGTATCCGTCCCACCAAATTTTCTATCATGATATCAGCCACCCGAAAGTAAAAAAAAAAAGGAAACGCAACATTAGCCCATCACCAAATTCCCTTTTCCCCTCATTTCTTGCGCCAGACAACAACCTTTCATATCCCAGAGAGCACCCCAAGGCAAGGCCGTTGGCTTGCATTCGAAATTATTGCAGAGAAAGCGGGATGAGAACCCCGCAAAAGACATTACGTGCGATATGCACGGTGAAGCAAGCAGTTCAGAAAAAAAGAAAAAAAAAAAAAAATAGCTGTCGAGCGCCGCGGGTATGCAAGGTGAGATTGAAACAAGGAGGGGAAAAAAAAAGAAAAGAAGAAAAGAAGAAGCTAAGCGGATGCAAAGAATTACAGTGACAATTTTTTTGTTTTTGTGGTTTTGAAGACAGTCAAGAACAAGCAAGGGGGAAGAACCAAACTGAAATCAACTGAGCCAGTCACAAAGAAGCAAAAAAAAAGGGGGGAAAGATAAGGGCGATTTCCATATGGTAGCGAATCGCACTGGTGGACCAGCACTGCCACGAAGACAGCTGGCTTCGCTTGTAAATCCTTCATCCACGAGTTTTCCGTTGATCATTACCGAAATTGCGACTTTAAGAACCATTTTGCGATGTCTTTGTGCAGCAACAAATAAAAGGACGCTAGTGAAAGTGATCGAGAGCGAAAAGGAAGGAGAAGTGGGTGCAAAATGAATCGAACGCTTTGCGAATCGTGATATGAGAAAGGAATCAAGATTAAATCCGTAAAAAAAGTGATGCCAATCCAGAAGATTCGCGCATATTCCTGCGACTAAGGCAGGCATCGAAAATATCATCAAGAAGGGGACATGTCTATGATAATTCGTTTGTAGCAAAAGTTCGATGTAGTGGAGACGAATGTTGACTGAGGGTCGATTTTCGAGGGTGCGTCTGTTGAGGCGCTATTTGTTGCCGGGCTTTTGGAGCATCTGGTAAGGTGGCAGACTGCTCTGGCTGCTGTGAGCAGAAGTTTCAGAGTCGATATTGGCACTAGCACCACTATCACCACTCCCCGCGCTAGCGCTCGCACTTCCTGTCAGACTTCGAACGTTTGTATGCCTTTTGGCAGGATTCGAATTGCTCACCCCAACTTGTTGTTCGACTTGTTGTGGCATGACCCCATTGGGCTGCCCTGGATGTCTTGGGACCGGCGCTCTCATTATTCCCGGTGGTGATCGGCGATTGGGATGACCCATTCCATTCGGCTGTCCGTTAAAGCCGTCGATGCCTGTTGAGGTACGTCCCATTCCACGGCCATTGGGTCGGAACCCTTGACCAGGAGACTGGCTGGTGCGTCTGCTCGGTGGTGGATATGGCCCGTGCCCTACTCCCTGCGATAAATCGTTAATCCGACTGGCAGTTAATGAATTAGCTCTCGATTCTGCTTGCATCTCTCGTCGATCAACACTTCCATATCGGTTCGAAGAATATCCTATCATCGGATTATCAAGCAAGGAATCGTGCATGCCAGGAAATTCTTCGACAATTCGGGCGCTGGTGCGGTTCCTCCCCATACCAAATGCGCGACTGAAAGCGGAAGGGGGACGCCCAGCAGCCATCTCGGGGTTTTTGCGAAACTGGCCAGCGTTGTTACTTGGTACCTTTCTGTTTTTGCGGGATGTAACGCTCATCATGTCAAAATTATCTGGATCGATTTGGGGCATAGGTGGAGGTGCATCGAAGTAATCCCCATCGTCACCATCGTCGAGTGTATCGCGAGTGGTCGACATTCTTCTACTTGGCGGACCGCGTCTCATGTTTAATTCCTGTTCTCTCAGTTGCAACTCTCGCTGTCGAATTCGTAGTTCACGCTCTCTGAGTGCTAGATCGGCGTGCGAGGAACCTCCGTTTGTGAGACTATTCATATGGCCACCTGGGTGAATGTCACCAGCAGCGGCTTCATAATTAACAACGTGGCTAAATTCTTCCAATCCGTGGTCTTCCATTGGCGCATCGCGCTGTGGAGGTGCACCGCGTGGCGGCGGAAGTCCATTCGGCGGACGGTGGTTTCCCATGGACGGACCTCCCCGCCTCGGAGGGGGCACACTTTGTGGAGATGAGTAGTTTCGGCCACCGTTCCGCACATTGTTCACACCGGGACGAGATGCTGATGACATCCTAGGGGGGTGCGTTACAACTGGCGACGTAGGCTCATTTCCACGGGCCTGGTTCACGCTGTTAAGGTGATGAAGCATGGCATAGACTGTCTCGATTCGTGGGATCTTAACATCGGTGTCGATACTTAGTTTGACTGGAGAACCCAGATAAGTTTCCACCTCCATCGGTCGTCTTGCCATGAAATCCTGATACATGGTGGTTGGGCTCTCGGGCTGAGAAACCATATTTGAAATCGTGGTCTCCCTGAAATCTTCAGGAAAGCTGCAGCCAAGAGCCTTAGCCAGAGCTATCAATTCATCAATCACGCCAGACACCAATTGTCGTACTCCAACTTTTTTCATGAGCTGTGCATAGTTAGGGGTTTCGAACAAAACACTCGCCGGATGGAAAGCGATCGGCCTAACAAGAAGAACGAAAGTTCGGTCAGTGGGTCGGATCCCGTGTACGTAGAAATGAGGATTTCTCACCCGATCATGCGCTCGAATTGCTCTTGTCTAATGTTTTTAGACACCTTGCAGTTAACCTGGCCTGTGCCTAACGTAATCGACAATGCGGTTGCCATATCTGTTTGGATAGTTGACGGGATCGTTGCAGTTTTAATAGCGGGGCCCACCCAGACATCGCTAGACGCAGTGTGGTCAAATTCGCTCGGGCCAGTCTGAGCGATGTCGACACCAGAGACCAGAGAGAGAACAACATTGGTTGGGAATCTATGCTCCAACTCGGATTCGATGCCAAGAGTGCTTGTTGTGTTCACGATGATACAGGTGTGTTCAGGAGTGACGACGGAGTGGATGATTTCGCCGAGATCGTAGAGGTCTGGGAGCGCCTTGACACAGAGAATGACATAGTCGTAGGATTGCTCTCTCGAAGGAGCTTCGTCGGTATGGCGAATAACTGTAGAGAAGCACGAGCTCATCAGTCAATCGCTCTTTATGTCACAGGAGATATTACCACGAAAGGTGTTACATACCATGGCGTGGTTTAAACCGTTCATTGCCGTAAACTTTTGACCTGCAGGAGTAGAAATGATTATTTAATAAGGCATTCAAGAGAGCAAGAGCAAACAAAAAACAACAACACAACTATTGGAGAAAAAAAAAAAGAATAAAAATAAAAACAAAAATAAAAGAGAACTTTGAGACCGTACTTAAATGAGATGCCATATTGCGCGACATGCTCATAATTCTGTTTCCATACCAAAGTCACATCGCAGGCGTTTGTGGCTTGAAGCCTCCAGGACAAGAAAGCCGAGATCGCATTTCCGCCAACTACGAGGAACGGGGTCAGTTTCGCGGACATTGGGCTCCAGAATACACTGAGTAGTTTGAACCGTATACGGCGTCCGCAGGAACTGAAGGGAGAGAAGGGAGAGAGACGCACCAGAAAGCACCCGAAGCCGGGGAGTCGAGGGAGACATTGGACCCATGGGCGAGTCGGAGAAAGAGCGGTCCCGGCCTGATTAAAGAGAGAGGGAAGAATAAATAAAGAAGAAGGAAAAGAAGAAGAAGAAGGGGGGGAGGAGGAGGAGGATCGAGACCGGCGGAAGCTGTCACGCAATGCGACCTGGTGGCAGCAGCAACCGAATGGAATTCCCCTCCGTCCCGTCGTCTCCTGAGGTATATTGCCTTCGACAAGAGGTGACGTGTTCCGCAACGCCCCGACGGCTCGAGGAAGAGAGCTCTTCTGCTCACCCGCAATTGCGTGTAATTAGACTATTAGCAGATTCTCGCAACATAAGGCGATTTAGCGGTCAAAATGAGCGACGGCGGATTAGGGAGGGGTGACTTTTGTTTTTTTTTTAAAAAGAAAAAAAAATTATTGTTAAAAAATTGACAAAAAAAAAAAAAAAAAAAAGGCCGGTGCTCGATGGAGGAATGGCCGGTCGGTTTCGAATTCAAGGGTCGTTCGGATCTCCCAACCGAAAGGATAAAAGTTGCAACTTAACGAGAGCCAGAATCACTGGTCCTGTGAAGACGCAAAAAACCAGCGATTCTGTAAGAAAGGGAGGAGACCCGCACCAACACAGCAAGGCGATGGCCGGGGGAAGGAATCAGACGGTGGGAAGGAAGAGGACGAGATGGAGGAGGCGGAAGAGAGAGAGGAGGAGAAGGTGACGGTGGTGGTGGTGGTAGTGGTGGTGAGAGCGACTAGGGGAACTTTTCGAGGGGAAACGGCCTGCGACAAAGTCCGGTGGTCGATGAAGATAGAGTTAAAGAGGAAGAAAAGACGGGAATGACGGGGATGAGTTGGCCAGGCCAAGATGACGGTGTGGGAATACCTCTCAGCGCCCGTCAGGCGTCGTAACAAGGTATTCTTGGGGTCTCGAATTGGGCCGGTTCGAAGCTAGGTTCTTGGGCGCCGGGCAAGGTATATGAGACGTACGTAATAAATGGAGAAAGTCACTCACTATCCCACCCAAGCAAAATCTGCTGCCCGTGCCTGTCTGACTTGTCCTGCTTTCGTTCTTTTTTCTTTTATTAATTCTCTTTTGGTTTTTCTCCCCTTTTGGTGGCTCAGGGTCGGGAAGCAATCCCGAACCAAAGTAAAATGTTGCTGCAAAAGGGCCACCCGACTTTCAACCAAAGGGAAAACAGGGATCAGCGCGAAGCAGATTGGTGCGGCAAATCAACCTTTTGGCTGTCAGCAAATCCGTAGGGCAGTTAAGCGGAAAATCACTGTTGCTTGGAGGGTCCTTCTTCCCCGTCTTTTTTTTCTTTTTCTATTTCTTTTCTTTTCTTTTTTTTTTTTTTTTCGGTTTTGTCTTGGCTTTTCCCTTGCTTTTTTAGCGTACCTTAGTATTTGATCCGAAAGGCGCGTCCCAACCGACAATCCCGAGGCCACCGACAGAGAATGAAGAAAGTAGGAAAGGCTCGAATTATGGCGATGGGGAGCGGAGATGAAGGATGAAGAGAAGGGCAGAGACAAGGGGGAAGATAGCTCAGTACACCTGTCAGAGTGAATTGCAGGGGATGTTTGCCGCAGAAACAAGAGCTGTGCCTGGTTGGTGAATGATACGCCGAGCTGGTGAAGAACACATACAGCAGCCGGTAAAACCACTAGTAACCATTTTTGACTTGCGTTTCTGGCCCCATGGAGCACACCATGATGTTGTCTGTTGTGGCCAGCATGCCGAGAGAGAGAAAAAAAAAAAAAAAAAAAAAAAAAGTCATCGGCGACAGGCCGGTGTCTCTCTTGGTGCGGGTTTGCGTGTGTGTGTGTTTGGGGGGGGGGTGCTTCTTTTTTTTTTTCTTGTCCCCGTTTCTGTTTTGTCTCCTGAGAAGTGTCCAGGGACAGTGCTCAAGGAAGGGATGCAGAATAACCTTGGCTTGATGGGCCAATTTGCTGCATTTTTACGCTGGGTGATGGTGATGCGCCTGTGGAGGGAAAAGAGGAGAGGAGAGAAGAGAAGAGAAGAGGAGCACAGATCCTTCTACAGCTACAATCTACTGTTTATCACTACGCTGGGGGGAAGACTGAAAAGCACGCTAAGGTGTTATTGCAAGCAGAACCTTCTGTGGATGTTCTCGAATTATCTAGACAAAAAGCACGTGAGTTGAAGATGTTTGGGATTTTCCATTGCTCTGCATTATTATTAGAGAGCGGCAGCTCCTTTGATGCTTGTTTGCAGCTCAAGAACCGGGATGGCAGTTTGAGGGAAACGCCTTGTTCCAGTGCGAATTATGTACTGCCCAACCCGTGGACCGCAGACTCACTGCAAACAATATTTTGCCCCCAGTCCTCCATCCTGCAGCATTCAGCCAAGCAATATCCTTGAGGCGAGAAATGCTGAGGGGATATGCAGTGTAGCTGCTCTGCTCCCTGTTCGACAAAGCTCGCCATCATCGAGAACCTGCTCCGTGGCAGCAAGCATCGGTCTCTCTGTCTTTCTCTGTCTTCCCCTCTTCCCCCACTGCCGTGCTCTCCGGACGCACCAAACGTCTTCGCCTTCAAGCTCGTGGGCAAGCGTGGGAAGGCCAGGCCTGGCGAGTGGCTATGTCCAACAGGTTCCTGGAGATGAAACGACAATCTCCGGAAGCTCCCTTCGCAGCAATATCAATAATCAAACCTGCAGGTATGGATACATCGATACGTCAGATACATGCCCTTACCGTACGGCTTTGGGCTCAAATACGGGCTACAATGTCGCCAACTTGGCCCGTGCGGCGCATCTCTGCCCTGTTTTGCAGCGTATGCGGATCGTATGTACGTCTGTATTCGAATTTTGAGTTAAGTACCGGAAGTGGAGATCAACCTGCACGAGCTAACGCAGCATAGGAAAGTTTCTCGCGCCCTGATTGGTCCACTCCGATCGTGCCTGATCCTGAAATTTGATTTGTGGAGCCCGCTCTTTCCCTGTTTTCCCTCCACAGACGCAATCGTGGCTGATGAGATCGTCACACGCTACTTTAGTCAGCGTCCACTCCCCTCGCCGTCACGTGGTTTGCTCCAGTCAAACGGAGTCGAAAAGCCTCGACGCGCCGGACACCAAGTCCCCATCCGTCGGACGCTGTGCGACTCTTGCGCGACGGGTGTTTGGAAGAGGTTGTGCCGGCACGCTCAGGGGCATGCTGCTCGGAAGATGAAGAGCTCTCTTTGCGGTCGGTTTTTGTTATTTTGAAGTTAAAAGGCCCCGAGGAGCTCCTCCTCCGTGTGACACCAAGCCTCCTCGTCACCAACGGACGCTCTGACCTCGAGAAAATTCTCCACGCCCCCCCCTCCTTTTTTTTTTTTTTTTCCCCTGCACCGGCAATTGAAGAATAGTTATCCGCCGCGACGCCGTTCTCTTTACTAACCTCAAGAAGAACACCTGCTGATAGCATGTCTGCCCCTGCGAACATGTGGAAAGCCTCCGGACCAAGGAGGAGAGGCGAAAACATGAAACACGTTGTTCTGCAGCCAACACATGGAATTTGGAACGGAGACGTGGGATGGAAAGCTCCGCTGCCCATCACTCTCCTGTCGCTCCACACCCGTCGGTCGGTCCAGTACTAGGCAGGGAAGGGATCGGCTAGGGTTATTAATAGAATTCAATGCCGATCGCGATCCCAGATCGCAGGTTAAAAAAAAAAGGTAGGACAACTAGCAGGTGTTGCCGTTCCGCTTGGATTGGGAAACGTTGACATCATAGGAGATGAATTGGAGGGTTCCATTGATCTACAGAGTACATACAACGCCTGCTGCGGCGGAAAACGGCGCCCAAGGAATTGGGTTCTGTGAATGAGAATGCAACGGAGATGCTTCTACGAATGAGGCAGGCTTTTTGCACAGAAAAAAAAAAAAAAAAAGAAATGAAAAGGCTAATTTCAACTTCCAAGTCGTCGCTTTCCGTCGCCAAATGTATCTCTCTCCAATGCAAGTTTAAAACCGGGGAATCAGGCAACAATCTACTCCGTACTCCGTAGGCGGAAAGTACTTCTGAAGCCGGACGATGCAGGATAAACAGAGGCGCGAGATGGGGGTTCAGGAAGTTAAAATTCGCCACCGCAGAAGCTCGATAAATGCTACTTTCCGCTGGACGAAACGAAGTCGTCCTATCCCTACTGCACAGATTCATACCTGGTATTGTGAGAAAATCTTTAGCGAGCGAAATGAAGGTCCTTTTCATTTTTGTTGGAGCCTTGGAAAGTGGGTGCTGGATGAGTACCATATCACCCTTCTCTCGATCCACGACGAATGCGAGGTACCTAAACCCCGGCTATCGGAGTAACCCAAGCCCGAGTTGTAGAGAAACGAAAGCGATTAACCGGTTTCGGGGTTCGTAGGACTAGGAAAACGTGGGCAAGCTCATTTTCTCCAAATCAAGCACACGTCATGTTAAAACATTACTCGAGATGTGAGAGCCTCAAAACACCTTCAGGAAACAATGGTGGCTTTACATCCTGTCAACAGCCGACAATGAGAGTACCCTTTACACGTGGAGGTCCTGGGTTTGAGACCGCATGAAGTGTTGTCGCCAGCCTCTCTTGGCATCCCGCCACTTGGTGGTCATCAGCCAGCCGCTGAACCTGACGCCAAAAAGGGCCAAGCATGCGGTTTCCCCTGCATCTCCTCCGTCCCTCCAATGGTACCGAGATGCACACACCGATCATCGTTCGGAGTCCTAAATGCAAAGACCGGAGGATGCCTCAGCGCCAGCAGCGGCTGTTCCTCGCACGAGCTGGCGTATTCACAGGAGCCGGCACCATCAGCCTCATTGCGGTCCTCCGTAGTAATGCTTCCACCACAGCACCATGTTTGTTGAAAGCTTCCTCCTCCTAGCAGCGGCCGACGTAAAACTCAATGGGCGAGGAAGATGACTAAGCAACCAACCAATATACACTTTTCCGAAAACGGGCTAGCGTAATCTTTCCTGGCCTCGCGTCAAAGCCGCGTCCCAGCAAGACGTGTTGATCAAGGCCCGGGGGGTTCATCCGAAAATGAGGTACGGAGTGCTGTTTGACGACAACGGCCACTAGAAAGCCTCATTGTACGCTCCAGGTTTCGACCCACCGTATCTGCAAAACATGAATAATGCCGTCGATTCCTCAGCGACGACGGCAAGCAACCGACTCAGACTCAGACTCAGATGGAGAGTCTAGTCGAAACTCGACCCTGCTGCACAGCTCCAACGGCGCTAAACGCGTACGATTGACGCCCCAACGCGAACCGGTGCAACCCCAAAGCAGCGACACAAGTTCGATAAGCACCGGCGATGATTCTGACGTGAGCGAGAGCGACGATGAACTCTCCACCACCGGCGCCGGGCAGCCGTCCACAGACCCTACCCCGCCCGTTCCGGAGCGGGCTGCAGATATCGTGGACCGCATTCGCGGTATTCCGGGCGGTGCTGGCGCCGGTAAATATCGGCCAGGAGCCATTGTGCGGATCAAACTGTCGAATTTTGTCACCTATACATCCGCTGAACTTCGACCGGGCCCGCGGCTAAACCTGGTGATTGGACCTAATGGAACGGGGAAAAGTACGCTGGTTTGTGCCATCTGCTTGGGATTGGGTGAAGGGCCGCAGGTATGGATGACGGACGTTGATTGTTGCTTACCTTCTATGTGACGTGTTACTCTGTTTGGATCGCCCGTGCTGATATAGATGGGTCGGATACAGCATCTGGGACGTGCGAAAGATGCGGCTGAATACATCAAACACGGCTGTCGGGAGGCAACAATTGAAATCGAGTTGGCTGCCCCGCCAGGGAAACGAAATATCGTGATAGCAAGGGTTATCAAGCGAGATGGCAACAAGAGCACGTTTACGGTTAATGGTGATCAAGTGCCAGGAAAAAGAGTTCGGGAGCTTGCCAGATCGTTGTCCATCCAGATCGACAATCTTTGCCAGTTCCTTCCTCAAGATAAGGTTAGCGAGTTCGCAGCGCTTACTCCCGTTGAGCTTCTGCAGTCCACCCAGCGAGCCGCCGCCCCGCGGGAAGTCACAAGATGGTATGAAGATCTGAAGCGACTTCGTGAGCAGCAAAAGAAACTCCAGGTTGAAAACAGACAGCAACAAGAAGTCCTACAGGATCTGGAGAGGCGGCAAGAAAACCAGCGTGAAGAGGTGGAAAGAATGAAGCACAGAGCAGCGGTTAAAAAGCGCCTGAAGTATTTAGAACTAATGCGGCCACTGCCAAAGTTCAAGGAGCTCAAAGCTCAGTGTAAAGAGTTGAAAGAACGGAAGAAGCTTCTTCACAGGGAGCACCAGGCTCTCAACGAGGAGCTCGGGCCTACGATGAAGGCAATCAATGCCAAGAAAGAGTATTACGCGACACTTGATAAAGTCGTTAAGCAAAAGCGAAATCATCTTGCAAGAGCGAACGAGTTTGCAAAGGAATATAAGAATGAGATGGCCGTGGTAAGCGAGAAGCTCAAGGATTTGACGGCAAACATAGAGGCCGAAAAGAAGGCTGGCACGAATTACGTCTCCGAAATTAAGAAGTTGAAGCAAGCGATTAACCGAATCGAACGACAGATGGAGGAAGGGGCCCCTGAATTTGATGTTGCTGCGTATGGATTGAAGATTGTATGTCCTGTTGTTGGTGATACTATCTTCTTTTACATTCATTCTCTGACTTACAGCCTGTAGCGAGAACAACAACGGCGAATCCGCGAATTTGAAGATAAAGCAACAGAACTGCAGAGAAAGAAGCAACCGACTGCCCTGGAGTTTCAAGCCAAGAAGGCGGAGTACTTGAAAACCAAACGGCGACTGGAGGGGTTGGAATTCCAGGATGGTCAACAGGAGGAAAAGTTGCGTCAACTGTCTGATGACTCTTTCAATGCCTGGCAATGGCTTAAAGAGGAAGAAAACCAAGTGCACTTCGAAAAGCCAGTTTATGGACCTCCACTGGTAGTGTGCTCCGTAAAGGATCCCAAGTACGCTTCGGCGCTGGAAGGGCTGATGCAAAAGAACGACTTTTGTGCGTTCACAGCCCAAACCAGAAATGATTTTCTCAAGCTACAAGAACTTTTATATCAGAAACATGGCTGGCATGATATTACGATAAAAACATGTTCGGTACCCCTCTCGGGCTTTCGCCCTCCTGTGGATGACGAAGAACTGCAGAAACTGAGATTTGATGGCTGGGCGAAAGATTATATCTCTGGTCCAGAGCCTGTGTTGGCCGCGCTTTGCAGTGAGAACAGGTTTCATGCCACGCCTATAACACTTCGGGATATCTCAGACGCCGAATATCGACACCTGGAAAACAGCCCGATTTCTATGTGGATTGCAAATAATTCACATTATCAAGTTGTCCGTCGGCGCGAGTATGGCCCGGCTGCAACATCAACCCGTGTTCGGCACCTGCGACCGGCAAAGTTATGGACAGACCAGCCAGTCGACGAACAAATCAAGCAGCAACTCGAGACTGAGCTCAATGAATGGAAAGCTAAAATGGATGAGATTCAAGAAAGGATGGACGATCAGAAGGGCACTCTTGCCCGCTTGGCGGCTGAGCATAGAGCAGCCTCAGAGGAGAAAGTCCGTTTTCCTGGTTTCATTTGCATCTCAATGCTTTTGGCTAAATTCTCTTTAGGAGCGACTTGAGCGAGAAAAAGCGGCGAAGCAGAGTGCCCTTACGGCCTTTAAAGCTTTACCAGCTAGACTTGGTATGTTACGAATAGGGTATATTGATCTTTTTCTCTAAACTAACAATGTGCAGAGCAACAAAAAGAAAAATACCAAGAGTTGACGGAGAGAATCACAAATGTTCAGAAAGAAGTGGAGTCTTTACGAAAAAAGCAAGATTACGTCTCGCTTGATAAAGCCGCAGTCGTTTTAAAGTATGCTGTAAGTATTCTTGATGAAATTACAACTTTCTCCTGTCAATGCTAAACTCGTCTAGAAATTTGTCTCCAGATTTCGGAAAATGCAGGACGACCTCCTACAAGCCGAAATCTGGGCCATCGAAGCCTGTTCCGATTGGCAGAGTCTTAAGGAGCACAATGCTGAAGTTACGGAAGTGGTTGAGGCGAAAAAACGTGAGATCGACGAGGTTTCACGACAAATATCAGCAATGGCCACGGAGTTGCCTAAATTTGCCGACGAAGTGCGAAAACTCTCACGCATGGCAGATCGTGATCGGGATATGGGCGATGTTGTAACCGCCGTCGCTCAACTCAACGCTGAACAGCTGGAGGCCGAGATAGATTCCGCAAAAGCCACCTTAGATCTTACATACGAGGGCCATGGCACTCGCTTTATTGAGGAATTCGAGCAACGTCAGACCCAAATTGACAGGCTGAAAGAGAAACTTGAGAAGTCCCAGTCAGAGTTGGCCGATTACGAGCATGCAATCACTGAGGTCCGAGGAAAATGGGAGCCTAAGCTCGAATCTTTGGTGCAACAAATTAGCAACTCATTCTCTAATTTCTTTTCGCGCATCGGATGTGCAGGACAAGTTGGCATCGACAAGGCCGAGGACATTCCCGATGAGAACGGCCGCCTCGGTGATAGTAACAATTTCGACCAATGGGCGATCCGCATCCAGGTCAAATTTCGCGAGAACGAATCCCTCGCCGTTCTGGACTCGCACAGGCAATCCGGCGGTGAGCGCGCCGTTAGCACGATCTTTTACCTCATGGCCCTCCAGTCGCTCTCTGCCTCACCGTTCCGAGTCGTCGACGAAATCAACCAGGGTATGGATCCGCGCAACGAACGTATGGTGCACGAGCGGATGGTGGAGATTGCTTGCGGACAAGCGGATTCGGATGATTCTGGGGGCCAGTACTTCCTGATCACGCCGAAGTTGCTAAGCGGCTTGCATTACCAGCCGGGAATGACGGTGTTGTGTATCTACAGTGGCGAGTATATGCCAGCTGACTACAGGAAATTGGATTTCAAGCAGTGTGTATTGCGAATGAAGGACATGCAGAAGAAGAAGGGGTTAATCCAGGGGGAAACGGAGGAAGTGGAAGTTGACGTCTGAGGGAGCATTGGACAATCGGGTTGGCTGGGATTCGGGACACAGCAGGCAAGGGCGGCTTTTGTCGATAGGCGTGTTTTATTTTGCGACTTGGCTTTGAATGTATTAACTCCCCTAGACTTGCACGTAGACGCCTAATACCCTTTTTACCCCCCTCCTTGGGATTTTTTTTTTTTTTTGGCCACTCTCATCATATCTTACGGATCCTAGACAGGTCATGGGTTAATGCGTGAAAAGATGTCATCCATGCTGTTCGCCGCCTTTTACTTTCCCTCTCCCTTGACCTCGATGTAATCCCAACGACCTATCGATCCAAATGCCTGCTGCAGCTTTCAAGCCACCGTCCTTCATGGCCTCACGTTCCACCACTTGCCGAACCCGATCTTCCATCTCCCCGCTGTCCCAACTCTCGCCAGTGCTATTCCCCTGGTTACCTTTTGACGCTTTCCAAGTATTTAAACCACCAATTATTCCAATATTTCGCGTACTCGGGATGCGCATCAGTGTCTTCTCGACGTCGTACCCAAGCTCTTCCGCGAGGCTCACCGTTTTGGCAGTCAATGCTCCGTATGTGGAAGACGGGAGGCCTGGATCGTCTCTTTCGGCAAGTTTAGTAGCACGAAGGGCTTTTAAATCGCCAGTCGAGGGTTGAGTGTCCTGGCTGTGCTTCTCGTTGGGCTGACCTTCCGTATTTGACTTCGCTGACGGCTTTTTGGGAGGTGGATATCGATATTTGCTGCCTGATATGGAGTGCGAGCAGCAAGGGATGGCGAGGAATGGTAAAGGGGAGGTTGGCTGGGCCAGAGCACCGAGAAGAGGGGTCCAGATTGTAAGTTCGTCGGCGTGGTTTGAGATTATGAATGTGTCCTTTTCGAAAACGCCGTCGTTGGTCTCGACGGTATCTGGGATTTGTTCGGATGCTGCGCTTCGAAATATTGATGGTATGCAGATACTCTCCTTGAGACGGTCTTGCGTTGAGGGTGGGTACTTCTCCCAGCTTTTGCGTCTTCGCGCATCGAACCCCCATCCTTTGTAACCTTCAGCATGCAGGAGGTAGACCAGCACACCATTTCCACAGGCGATATCCACAAAGCCAGGAAACGAGGAGGTTGCTGATTTTCTCTTCTCACACTCTTCCTGCCCATTGCAAGAATTTTGGGTATACATAATCTTCCAAAGCTCGATTAAGAAAGCCGCTATGGCAATATCTTCAAAGACATGTTTCGAAGGCTCTGTAACCTCGGCCCAGTTTTGAATCAGAATCGATGCATATTTATCCTTTAATCTTGCGTATGTTGTCTGAACCACATGTTGAGGGATGATGTTATCCTTGTACGGCTTCGGTTGGCTTCCGGTTGTATTGAATTTAGCTGATGGGCTGCGAGCGAGGCGGACATGTGTTGATAATAGTGCTAAACACGTGCGTTCAAGACGATATGGTACTGTTTCTGGTATGCCATGGGAGAATGGAATGAAGTGAAGTGATAAAGTCCCCGTACCCTTAGACGTACTGTCGGAATCGCCAAACAACGGTCTGGAGAACTCGTATAGAAACCCCAAACCCCGAACACATGGATGGTAGAAAGGAACTTGCTCCTCGGATGAGAAATGGGGCAGATATATCAAAAGGCACCTTTCTACTTTTACACCCTGATCCTGCATAACAGCTGTCTGCGAATAAAAGTGACAGGTTTGATCCAGCGTGTGGTCCAACTTCTGTTTCCTGGGAATAAATCTCCTCAAAATTGTTCTAGTCAAGGAAAAAGAATCAAAAGCTGGAGCAGGCAAAGGCTCAACAGCCAACTCCTGGTGAACATCAACAGAAACATCTTCGGAGCTAGCAGTCTCTCTCTCCTTTTCCGCCGGAGTCTTCAATATGCCGGAGCTGTCAAACAGAATATCCGCCCGAAAGAGGTGTCCGGATGTCAAATTTGGATTTGCCAGAAGATGCGTAGCCGAACTAACAAATATTTTAGGCTCAAAATGCAAATTTGATCGAACTAATTCAGGCGATGTGATCCAATTTTCACCGTTCGAGGCCAGTAGTGACGGCCTAAGAGTGTCACTCAGACCCATAGTTATCTTTAAAAGGGCTTTGTTTTCCTTTGTTAAAAGCTCATGGCCTGATAAAATGGCCGTCGAAGAAGAATGAAAATCTAGGACATCTTGGAATTTGTTTCAAGTAATCATGTACTGTACTCTCGCCGTGGGCATCAAAAAATCCGCTTTGATGTCGAGAATCGAGATGTTCAGCAAGCGCAGCGGCACCATCTGATTGGCTGGCGCGTTGTCATTACATGGTTAATATCACAGTCACGACGTTACAAAAACGACTAATCTTTCTTTCGACTAGCGTCTAGATGCAGGTCAACCTCACCTCATCCTTGGTCTTCACGGTCATTCTGCAACCTCAGCCTGGGTTTTTACTGAAATGGGGGTATAGGCGGCTTGCAATCGGGTTTGCGGGTATATTCAAGTAGTTACCTGGTTTTTACTGCGGGGTGTGGAAGGAATTAATGCCATACAGCGTCCCTATCGGCGCCTGATATATAACCATAGCTCGAAAATGGGAGATAGGGGGTTGAAAGGCGTTCCCTACAAAAGGATTCTTGATTTGGAGACTATACTCGGATAATTTGCATACCTCACCCTCTAGTGTGAATTCTCAGCTGCCTTTGACTCCGGTCCTTTTATCCAAACTTTAATTTTTCGAGATAGGTTTCTCTGTCGTTCAAGCGGGGAACGGCTCGTCGAGAAATCGGGAACTGGAACTCCATGGAATTTACAAAGTGGCTCCCATCCATCTGAGACAGAGTACTCGAGGATTTGGCTTTGGAATCTCTGGCCTCACGCTGTCATGTTGTGCGGGGAAGCCTTCGTTCCTCAAAACCGTCCGGAACGGTGGCTTGCCACGTCCTTCCTAGCAACTCTTTTCGAATGTTCTTCGAAATAATCTGACTCTTGCTCTCCCGTTGTGGCGCTACCTCTTCTGTCTAAAGCCCCAACTATCATACTCGCTGTCAACCTGGGTTGAGTGTTGGTTGTCGGAGAGTTTTTCGTTCAGCCACAACAAAGCTTGATAAGCTGGGCTCTTATGAATACCATGAATCAGCATCCTAGGGTTTGACACAACTTTGGCTTCTAGATACACCTTCGCTAGTTCTATTGTGAAAGGTGTGGCTGGGCTATCTGTTACACCCATAAGAGGATCAGCACCGGAGGGTACATGTTCGCGGTGGTTTGAACATTTAATTCCACGTAGTTGACAGTGTCCTAGCAGTTGATCACTTTTCTTTTCCTTTTTTTCTTTTTTTTTTTGGAAAACCAAAAAAATTACAAACGCCATCATATTTAACCCAAAAGGCATACAACCACATTACGCGCAGTTTTGGAAATTGTCATGCGTTGCTGAAATTATGCGATATGTATCCTCTTATCCTAGGCGCCCTAAGGATGCCCTTAAGGTTATAACAAGTGTTAGAAACGCGCATCCACTGGGCTCCGATGTGTTGTGGTATTTACTGCCTGATGCACACATGGTTCTGGTTCTAGGGAGACCGGCACAAATTATCCGCATGGGGGCCACACGTGCACAGGTGCGGCGATCGATATTGGTAATCTCTCCAAAACTCCCTGCCATATTGGTCGTTTCGTTGGTTGCAAAGCTGCATTCAATCACTTGCTACCCATGTGTTGGAAAACATGATATCCATTTATGAAGGGAAATGCTTGCAACTGTTTATTTTGGTCGAGTATGTTAGACAAGAGGTATCCCCCAAATGGATAGTAATATCCCCCCCTTCCTGTGCCACCCGACTCGGGTGTGGAGGATATATGATGATATATCTATTAACACTGCCTGTTAGAAATCGGATTAACTTATCATGTGGTTATATTTCAGCCGGCATAGACTACTACAGCCTAGCAATACCTGCCGAAGTCCTCTCCGCTCAGGGAAACTAAAGTTTCACCAACGAGCAAGTCCTCACACTTATCGGGGTTATGCTACCACCTCCCTTAAAAGAATTTCGATTCTCCTGTGTGCAGCTTACTTGCGCACATTTGACCGATACGCCGGCTCCCCAAAATTGCAACTATATCTCCCCTGCTTACCCTGCATCAATGACGCAATTCCATGATGTGTTTAGGGTATCCAAGAGATGTAGTCCTTTATCATCCGGTACGTGGTCCGCGAGAAGCAGAAGGCTTACTTCTCCGAAAGGCACCCGTGAGTTGGGGGTAACCAAGGGTTCCTATTGCCCGGCCAGCGTCTCCTAAAAAATGCGGCGCGCTCCCTAGTCTCCATTTGTACCTGCGATTCGACCACCATTCATCGAAGCTATTGTGCTTCTCCCAGTTATCCTTTGTCATTGAGATGAGTATCCCTTTTTGCAGTACATGCGTTAACCATAGGCAATTTGGAACAGGGCAACAACTCGATCGCCATCATTCAGATCCTTAATAGCTAGGCCAAGGGTTTTGACATTTCCGCCAAAGTCCGTGGCCAAAGGTATCACCCTCTTGAGTTTGTATTATTAGGCATTTATGAGTCAAATACGGCGAGTTTGCCAACCCGAGATGGCCTAACACCATAAAGACGCAGACCACTGCCGAGAACCGTGATCCTAGTTACCTTTCTAATAATATTCCTGTCTTCGGAGATCCTCGGTTTGGGTACATCAACCACCCTTGGGGGATGATCTGGTCAAATTTTGTCACCAAAACTACTAGAGCCCAAACTACGCAGGGGATAGAGCATACCAACCTCCACATCGTTTATATCTCATCCAAACAACAAGCTTTATTGTCTCTCCGCTCGGGTCGGCATACCTATTGGGATCCAGCGCCGTAGAAGTCATGTTAAAAATTTAGAACGCGAAGCCGAGTCCAGGTAACCACTCATGCAATCAATATTATGTATTTACTCCGTATTTCCAACGAAAATGAGCGGCAGAAGATACCAAACCAGCAAGACCAAGTCAGCAGCTTATATTTGTCAATATGTCTAGCTGCTCTTGCACACACGGAATAGAGCGCTCTCAGAATCAAGATTTTCCCGTTCTACATACTCACCTTTATCTGGGAGGCTTGTCGATGGGGCTGTTTGCAGCTTCGTGGGCCCCAA